ACATGATATGTCTCACTGCTGGCAGTTATATTTGGCCGCGTAACGTAAGACGTGTGCCATGCTGATGTGATTTTCTTACGGGAACCAAGAGTCCGTGGCCTGAGGGACCAAATTATACTGAATTGGAAATGAAAACATTAAAAAACACGTTGTTTATAGAGTTTTACAAAAAGAGGATATTCTACAAATCTAAAACAAAAAGCAAATCTTATAAAATAATCAGACATTCTCATTCAAAAATGAACAAAGTAATTTCACAGCAAATCAGTAAGTTATGGTAAATGTCGATATTCTAACGAACACAAATATGGAGGAACTCTTATAAACTAAACAGATTGACAAAGTCTTATGCAGGAATAAACAAAATACCGGTATAAATAAACAGTAATACAGATAAATATGGAATTACTACAACTACTATCTGATTCACTACCACTTGGAGAATACGCATCAGATAAGTATACATCCCCACATAACTCAGTACTGCCACTCTCTTCATCCGATAGTATTTCATTACACAATTGTTCAAGCCTTTTTTGCTCCGCTTCGTAATGCGACATCACAAATTTGGTATTCAATAATTTATAAACAGTAAAGCAATTTGGACAAGATGACGTACAATACCAACAACGCTTCAATAATAAATGACACGAAACAGTGCTCAACGCGCGACATGATGCAAGTCTTGACTTGCAAAAAACGCGACGCGACTTATGTGCCACGCGACCCGACTGGTCTGTGGGCCACGCGACATACAATTAGTACCTCAGCAAAAAAATCAAAAAAGGGGAAAAATCATAGGATTTGAGAAAAAAGTCAAGTCAAAATATTAAACCGAAACTTAAAACAAGCTAATTTGACAATAATAACAGTTTGGCCCAGTGGACTGGATTTTCAGATTCTACTGTGGCGCTTAACGTGTCAATGTGACATTTCAATATTCGCCATCTAACAGACTAGATAAAGCTAGCCGATGCTACGTGCTATTGAGCCTGACGATTGACTTTTATTTAAATAAACAATATATACATAATATACAATAAATAGTGAACATCTGGTACTAGTACCAAAATGGAAGAGATTAGCATAACATCTCGCACATCGCTGCTAAAGCGAGATCTGCACACCGCATTTGCCGACACGAAGGGGTTAGTAACGGCGTACAATGTAATATGCTAATCTCTTCCATTTTGGTACCCGAGTACAGCAAAAATAGCCAATTCTCAAGAACTCTTTTTCTTGTTCAAACGGTTCTCTTGTGCCTTCAAGATCACATCGGGATCGCGGATTGGCATATTTCTGCTTTTTCTGGGATCGACCAGTTCTGGGAGCAAGCAGTTCATGTAGAAGAATTTCAATTTCTCTTCCATTTCATTTTTCCCGAAAACGTCATCCTTTCGAATGACGTCTATTTTCAAACCATACGGGGACCAAACACCAAGCACACAGTACTCTCTTTGTGCAACGTGTAGCTGCCCTTGAATTTGGTAATACCACTTATGTTTTTTATTTATTTCATCGTTTATCCAAAACGTAATTTTTTTGTTCAGAATGCCCTCTTCAGGGGTCATTTCTCTAGCCGACCATGGGCATTTAACTTCTAGCAGACCTTTTTCGCCTATCAAACCATCTGGCGATGCTGCCAGAAATGGATGGATGGGTCCTATCAATAAACAACCCGCAAGAGTGTACTTGTGATTGCGAATATGATTTCTCTATTTCTGATTTTGCCACGCTTTCATGCTTTTTTCCATAGTCACATGCATTGCTAAAGAATTCGGTTGGGTATATTATGGCGTTTACTAGAGCTCTGCAACTTGTTGTATCTCTTCTTCTACAAACCTCACCAAACCGAGACGCAGTCAACCTCATTCTTCGACGAAGACGCCACAAATTGCAATCCTGAGATTTTGTGGCTTGCTCGATCTGGGAAATTTTGGAGTCGGTTTTTGCAAGTTTTTTCAAGAATTCTACCTTGGCAGCCTCTATATCTTCGTTGCTCATGTCAGGCTTCTCACAGAATTCCCCATAGGATGCGTTCTCTTTAGTATCACTATCTCTGATTTTAATTTTCCTTGGTTTCAGCTTCCTTTTCAGATTTTTGTGCGCTCTCCTTTCTTCAACTTTAGCAATCAAAGAGGTTGGACTGAAACTAGGGAGTAGCCGCTTTTGGATCACACAAACAGGTCGCTGTGTATTGTGGCTCACTACGGCTGCAGCACATCTTCCTTGGTAGGATCTCTTCTTGCAATAATTAATCCGTTTACCCCCAATGAATTTAGCTATGATTGAGTTAAACTGCTCTACAATACTATTATCGACGTCATGAAGTAAACTTACTGCATTTTTAATCAGAATTGCCAGAAATGATATCAGCCTCTGGTGCAAATCTAAAAAAAAAGGGTATACACACCTGAATTTGAAGATCCATGCCATCTGTCTCTGTTAGAGAATGCATATGCGAAACCTTGCTGTCATTTTTAAGCTAAAATAACATATATAATATAGTTATAATAGTAACTACGTATGGTCTAATTTATTGACAAAATGAATGCTAAAATTCATAATTGTTTTGGTACCTACTTTTCTATCTGGAAAACGTTTTTTTTCCTGTGCGTATTTAAATGCGGCTTCTTCGAGACGCCACGTTTATTTCTCTTATTGTTCATTTTTGATACCTTGATAAGAAAGACACTCAACAATAACAGCACAACAATAACAACACAACAATAACAACACGATAATACAACAATACAATAACGGTAATAAAAGTAATAAGGGCTGAGTATACTATGCGCCAAAATAGGGAAACAGTCGTACGCTAGATCGTATATCCAAATCAAATCCGACTCTGTGCAATATGCAAATTCAACCAGGCACGCGAACAGCACACCTCTGCGTATTACTATCCTTTTCTAACGTAGAGCGCTTGCCTTGTCACAACGCCGTCCTACTAGCGTTTCCCTATCACCCCCCCGATTCCCCTCAGAAACTCTGCTTGACTGTGAGAGCGCCGTTAAGTTAATATATTTTACGACTATGGCATCCACATCCTATAAAAGAAAGTGTTTAAAGTTGAGTGAGAAAGTGAAAGTCATAGACGAAGTTGCACTAGGTGCGGGAGTGACACAGTTAGCAAAAAAATATGGAGTATCGAAAGCAACAATCTGTAAAATTAAGCGTATGAAAACTCAAATTTTACAAAGAACGTGCAATACATTTGGAGGTCCGGGAAAAAGAAAAACTTTAACAATTGCGAAGGCACCTAAAATGGAAATTCCCTGTATAAGTGGTTTTTAAAACAACGGGAAAATCATGTCCCAGTTAGTGGCGAAGTACTTAAATAGAGAGCGAGACTGTTAAATGAAAAACTGAAAGAAACTGAAAATTTCGTAGCTAGTGATGGCTGGCTACAACGATTCAAAACAAGATATGGAATTCGACTGCTGTCTATATCTGGTGAAACATTATCAGCACAACCACAATTAGTGTAACCATTCAAAGAAAAATTGATGAAAACAGTTACCGAGCTAGATTTAAGAATGGAACAAATTTACAACGCAGATGAAGGTGGCCTTTATTGGAAAATGTTATCAGAAAACCTATGCTGCATCATTTGAAAAATCTGCCCCGGGAAGAAAGCCGGAGAAATAACGAATAACGTTTCTAGCCTGCACTAATGCTAATGGTTCACACAAAATAAAGCCACTGGTAATTGGGAAAGCAAAAAATCCGCGCTCATTTAAAAATGTTAATATCCCTGTTGATTATGACTGTTCAAAAACTATTCAAAACTATTCAAAAATGTTGGAACAATCTCTTTTGTACCAATAATGAAGATGATGAAGAAAACGATGTCCCCTTAAGCGTAATTAGAGAACGTTTGCGATCCAATAATGATAATGTTATTAGCGTGTCATCGGATGTTGTTGATTTATTGAAAACAGTGAATCCCAACATTGTTTGTACTCCTGCTGATATTGATTTATGGAACGAAGATAAGCAGACGAATGATGCTGATAAGGAGGAGGATATGGACAGTGAGGATGATGAGAACGATCTCATTGAAGTCAGAAGTGTAGTGACTGACGCGCAAGCTATACAAGTTTTTAACCAAGCTTTAGATTGGGCTGAAAGAAAAGAAGTTTCATACACGGATATTTTAGTTCTTCGTAAATTACGGGCGCAGGCATTGGAAGACAATGCTAAGCGCAAATTTACGCAGACAAAAATTGTTAATTATTTTTCTTCTAATTAAAAAAATACTTATCGCTGTTAGAATATTTGTTTATTTTGTTATAAATAGTATGTATTAAACGTTTCTTTTAATAAATCAAATATTATATAAATCACGTTCGCTAATGTAAACATTTCGATAATGTGAACCACACTTGGATTAAATTAGTTTACATTATCGAGCGTCTGCTGTATTTCCATATGCAAAACTTAACTTTTTTGTAAAGTTGATTGTTTTCGAAATGTAAGCGATTTAATATTTAAAAAAATGCGAAACATTCAAATTTCGACCACGCAAAACAATATGAAAAACGAAAAATTTAGTGTTACCAAAGTGTTACGAAATCCCAATGCATTTTAGCAGGTATTGTTGAAGTTGAAGAGACTTTTTACTCGACTGCCGCAGAAGGAGGGTTATGTTTTTCTTGCGTGGATATTTGTATCTGTATCCAAACAATTTTATTTCAAAGGCAATAGGCCCAGCGTTTTGATTGATTTTGATGGAAGAAGTGTTGTTGAATTCATCTCAAAAGCGCGGGTATATGGGTACTTATATAAAACAAATTCATAAAACCAAAATGGCGAATTTTAATCGAATAACTTCAATTCTGAAAGTTACATTTCAACCACTTGTCAGCTTTTGTACAATTGAAACTTGATTCTTTTCAGTTTCGGTTCGGATTTTTTGGATTTTTTAAAAACGTACTTCTCTCTAGAATGTTGCAATAAATCTTTTGAGTCTCAAAAGTCTACTGTGAATATAGGCTCCTGCAATATGTTGGAGATTCAAAGGACAATCCATTTACCCAGAAAGCTGACGATTTTTTGAAAAAAGCATTGGCGTACATTTCGAAGATGGAACGTGTAGCAATGGAGGTTTATGAAAAAACAAAAGGGTTATTCGGTCCGCATGCTGCTGGTGGTAAAGAGAAGGATAAGCCGAAGAAACTAAATGGTAGCAAGAAAGGTACAGTATTTTTAATACCAATTGAAATAGCAAAAAACCGCAAGGAGCCGCAAAAAAGGTGTGAAATCCGATATACTCGTAGATAAATGGCATAGCCAGTGGAGAGCTAAGCCCATGGGAGGCCGGGGGCGGAAAAACTATTTGAAGAGTTGATAAGAAATTGATCATTCTATTATGGGTGAAAAATTGGTAACATAAATGGATGAAAAAAAAGTCGTTTATTTATGTTTTTGCACTTTTATTCTTTACGAGCTACAGGATTTCGCATACCTAATAATATTTGTTAAGAGTAAAGTGATAAAAGCGAAGAGAATAAGTGACATATTTTTTGTGATATGCCTAAGAACAAAAAAATATCAATAACAACAACTTGCGTCAACACAGCAACTTACACAATTTATCTACACATACGTAGGCAACCTATAGCCCAATACAGTGCACACGCAGTTTCTTATTGCACGTTTCATTTTTCTGAAACGTGTGTAACATCGAGTTCCGTTTTCAACAAATCCGCATTGATCATCTAACCCAGAGTTCCCCAAACTTTTTTGTGTCGTAGACCCCTTGCCATGTTTTTCCGTGTTGGGTAGACCCCCTACTTACCTGATATTGATTTCCTGTAAATTCCTAACTGTAGTGAAGTTTAGTGTTAAAAACACATGTTAATTTATACATTTATTAATTGAATTTAATTTAAAACTACTCAAAATAAAATTTTGTATCTGTTATGTAAAATATACGTAACATTAAATAAACAGGTGTCTGACCAATAAGTGCCCGCATTGGGAATAAGTGCCCGCATTGAAAAAAAAATAAGAGGGATAAAATAAAAAAAAAGTGAAAAATAATAAAAAAAAGTTTTTTACTTAAAATAGTATAATAACCGAGTTCGTTTATTAATAAACGTATGTTCTACAATAATTTCACTGTTAGTTTGATTAAATTCCGCTTCTTATACGTTTAAGTTATCTAAAAATAGGCAAAAAATTAACGAATTTTAGTGTGTACCTATCCTTGAATTTTCAGAATAATTTTAAAAAAAATATTTTCTATAAAGGGGGGTTCTTTAAAAAAATCAATGCGAGCACTTATTCCCAATGCGGGCATTTATTGTTCAGACACCAATAAACATAAAATAAACTATAAATAAAATAACATAAGCAATAAGTCAATATTTTTAGTGAGAGGGATGAACCTGATGCTTTAATAATAAATTATCAACATTTGGCGTCAATTTTGTAAGGGTTAATCTTAAATCTTCTCGGCTAATGATGTCCAGTCTGTTTCCTTTTTTTGTTAGGAGATTGGTAACAGCGCTGAACCCCCTTTCCACTAGGTATGACGATGGAAAGGAAATTAAAAATTTCCTCGCTATATTCCATAATACGGGATAAGTAACGGGTGTGTTGTTTTGCAGCCAGAATTGCTGATATCTGTTTTTAAACTGAACCTTAAGTTCTTCGTTTGTACTTAGTTCAGTCAGTTCCTCTTGTATTATGACATTCGTTTCTTCTATGTCACCATATGGATTAATTATCCACGGTGGTATTACCATAGTCAAAATATCCTCAAACCTAGATTCAAAATCTGAATAGAGGGCATTCAAAAGTTGAACGTAAGTTGAAACGTCGTCTTCCTGGCAGTTAGTCTGTGACAAATTGGGGAACTGAGGAAATTCGCCCCGTCCAATATTTTGCTTCATTAGTTTAACTCTGGCAAGAAACGCTGATAAGATGGACTTTGTTTTAATCAAATTTAAACTGTCGCCTTGTAATTGCAAATTAACCATATTAAATTTTGTAAACAAATCTGTTAAATAGGCGATGTCTGTTTTCCTCTTCATTAAATTTTCTTTTAAAATTTTATCTTTAGTATCCAGAAATTCTAAAATAGTCTCAAAAAGTTCAAAAAATCTGGTCAAACGTAAGCCTTTTGACAGCCAGCGTACTTCAGTGTGAAGGAGTAATTGATGAATGTGTTCGTAATTTTCTTCACACAACTGCGCAAATAACCGCGTATTCAACGCGTTGCTTCGGATTCGGTTTACTGCATCAATGACTAAATGAAGTGATTCATGCAATCTAACACTCAAATTTTTAGCAACTAAATGTTGTCGATGGATGACGCAATGTATTACTAACACCCCTGACACATTTTGTTTTAAATAGCTTATAAATCCACGATAACGTCCAACCATGGCAGGTGCTCCATCTGTAGCTACTGATATTATATTTGATAAAGGAATTGCTTTTTCAATGAAGTAATCCTTCATAATAAAACGAACATATGTTAATAATAATCCTGCATTATCAGGTAAAGTTGACTCGTCCAGTTGTATATAGATATGGGTCGTTTGCAAATAATTACATAAGAAGCTTTCAATATCAGAACTCATTTCATCAATAACATACGTCTTTCAACAGTATTGTTGCTTAAGGGAATTCTTTTAATGATATCAGATGCAGGTTTGTGTAAATCAGTTTTTAAAACCTCTTCAACGGCTGGCAAAATTAACTTCTCTCCGATAGTATGCGGTTTTCCGGATTTTGATATAAGTAACGAGATATTGTATGACGCCCGCAAACCATCATCATTTCTTTGTGACGTCGAAGCGAACATTCTGTCCAGTGTAGGTCTCTGCTGAAATTTATCTTTGAGTGTTTGAAAGTATTTCAAATCTTTCTCTGTTTTATCAGGGTGGCATCTTCTCAGATGGTCTTGCAGTTTAGATGGTTTCATAGCGTTATTGCCCAAAACTTTGTTGCATAAAAGGCACATAGGCGATTGTTTGTCCGGCAATGATGGAATGAAGCCAAATTTCAAATAATCAACACTGCTCTGTCTACATTTCTTTTTAGATTCGGACATGGCATCAGTCATCTGTGGGCAAAATTAAATTATTTAAATAAGACAGAAAATCCAGCAGCTGTACATTAAAAATATTTTTTGATTTTCCGAAAACATTCCATAATTCGAACAAATAGGTACTATCAGTGTATGTGTTGAGATCCACTATCGTGGACCCCCATATTCATTTCATGGACCCTCAATTTTTTTTCGCTGACGTAGACCCCTTGCAGGTTGTCATAGACCCCTAGGGGTCGATATAGACCACTTTGGGAATCAATGATCTAACCCAAAATAGGAAGGTTCGACATTTTTCGTATTTCTCTTATTTTAATTAAAATCGAGGGATTTTGTTATTAAAAAACGGTCAAAGAAATTTGTGTGCAAAATATTAATATTTACGTGGACCGAAAGCATTTTAAAATCAAGGATCGACGCGAGGCTAGAAAACGTACCTGTACGCGAGACTAGACCGCGTGACGTCAGTAGCCCGACACGTGCTGTCGCCCTAATAGAGTACTTGTATCTTGTGTCTTGTATACGGAGTGAAGAGTATACGAATACGAATTTATATAAACTGGGACTGACGTTTGTGTACTAGCACAATACTCCAAGGTTATCAGAAAGCTGATTCGCGAAATTTACCCCATGTGAATGTGGAAATGGTGTACGAGTTTTTAGCAAATAATGCAAATTTAAATGAACCTCAGAGCAGCGGTGTTGAAGTATACTAAGTGACATATAAATGCGAACACCCAGTTTAAATGGTTTTATTTTAATAAAATTTTGTATAAGGACTTGATGAAGCATAATAAGTAAATGATAAAAATTTCAAAATGATTGCACTGCTTTAAAGCCCTTTGACCTTGACCTAATGTGTGGATGCACCCTGATGTGCTACGCATTCTCCAACGCGCCTAGACATGCTTTTGATCAGGTGGTCAATGTCCTCCTGTGGTATCTCATTCCAGGCAACCACCAACTCCTCTCGAAGTGCTTCTAGAGTCTGAGGAGGACGTTGCAAATTGAGCAATCTCCTACCCATCATATCCCACACGTGCTCAATTGGGGATAAGTCGGGAGATCTTGGTGGCCATGGTAACAATGTGACATCATTATGTTGAAAGAAGTCTATTGTGACTCTTGCAACATGTGGTCGGGCATTATCTTGTTGGAAAGTTGGATCTGCCAGGGTGTCAAGATAGGGTAAAAGATGGGGTTCTAGAACTTCGTGGATATAACGCTGTGCGTTCATGTTACCTCTGATGAAGATTAAAGGTGACCTGGAACCATAAGCTCTAGCACCCCAAACCATAACTCCAACAGTGTGATGAACATGTCTTTCAACAAAAAACTGTAGATTCCTCCTTTCACCACGTCGCCTTCTAACCCTGGCACGACCATCGTGCATGCCTAAACAAAATCGAGACTCGTCACTAAAGACAATACTGTTCCATTCCTGATCCCAGAGTGACCGTTGTCTGCACCACTCAAGGCGATTACGTCGGTGTTCTCGAGTTAAAGGGAGGACCCAGTGTGGCTGGTATGAAAACAAGCCAAAACTTCTCATTCGTCGGTAAATACTTCGCATGCCAATAGGTCTTCCATGTTCTTCAAACCATTCATTTGCAATAGACCTGGTAGTGGAGAAACGTTCCCTTAAGGCCAATAATCTTAGGCGGCGATCTTCACGGTCTGTTGTTCTACGCCGGCGTCCAGTGCCCCTTGCTCTTTGCGTACGGCCTTCACGAAGCCATGCCTGTCTACACTTCTTTGCACTCTAACTGCAAGTGCCCGAAAAGAAAGTCCAGCTTCCCGAAGTCCCACTATACGGCCCCTATCAAACTCACTAAGTTGACGAAATCGTACAGGTCTCCGTACTCTAGGCATCGTCACCGATCGTAAAGGATGTCAAGAACCAAAATCCGCCAACGTTGATTCTTTACTGCGGCTGAAATAATCATTTTTAGAGCGTTAGTGAATTGAAAAAAAAGCAGTATAAAAACCGGAATGTCCAACTGATAAGGCTGAACATTTTTTCACTTGTTATTTACAGTAAGATAAATACATTCACCAACTTTTATTAAAATAAAACCATTTAAACTGGGTGTTCGGATTCATATGTCACTTAGTATAAATGATTGATTCTTTCACAAGTGTTGATTTAGGTACTACTAATTCACGATCTTGTTTTCGTCTAATACCGTAACTTATAGTAAGCACATTTTTAAGCAATTTTGAGAACAGATACATCAAAATGGAATAATTTGATCTACTTTCAAATAAGACAAAGCAGCTTCTTAAGGTTACATGATTAGTAAAATTTAATTTATGACCATTCCTAAAAATTTGATGGTTTCTGTTTTCTGTATCAAATTGTTATTTGAATTTATAAAATCAAGGAAACATTTGAATGACATAAATTTGGTCTTACTGACATTGCAAGTTAAGTAATTGTTATTGCACCATTTTTTGGTTCTGACAATTTTTGATCTAATTTTATCTAACTATATCTGTATCTTGCCAAAGTATTGTGGTATGGTCAGCAAAACTACGATTTTATCATTTATGTCATTGATATAAACTAATAATAGACCTAATACTGATCCTTGAGTTACACCTGCGTTTATAATTGATTTATTCAAAATATGTCTTGATAATTTTGGAATTCTGGATCGATTATTTAAATACATATCTATTAAGCCAATTGAGTGAACTTTTTAAAATTGTTATTTTCTTCAAGGTGGTGGAGGTGAGAAAAATATGTTGAAACTCTTTGAGCCAGATGAAAAAGTCAAGAGGAACTTTGGAAAAATTTTCGATGAATGGGTAAATTTCGATGTTGTCGTATTTTCGACTGCATTTAGTCACTTTTACTGCCGTTACAGATATGTGCTCTTAGAGGAGAAACAGCGAGGGTGACACTCCGCCTCAAACTTCTCAGAACTGACTTTGTGAGGAGTGTTGACGAAGTAGTTTCTACATTACAAAAAGCATTCCGCGATATTTATGAAGATATCTATAAACGGTATCGAGCCGAAGTGGATAGTGTTAATAGAGCTTGTGAACTTCTATGCAGGTAAAAAAGTCACACATTTTTCAAAAAAGAGTTTATATAAGGTTTTTAGGCTCTTAGAGTCAGATTTATAGACCTTCCTTGAGGCGTGAGGCTTCCTTGGAAGCGATAGATATCAGATATCTCCTTGGGCACTTGAGCCGTATTCATAAAAGAGAAGCATATCCTCGGAAGCATAAGGTAAAAGAATAAGGTCTTGCTTCGGAGAAAAAGGTAGAAGTATAAGCATATCCTTGTTTTCATATTCATAATGATTACCTTATACTCGCGAGGATATCCTCCAAGAAGAAGTGAAAGGTTGACTGGTATTTGTATATAAGTATATACGCAACCGTTGCCCAAACTGCTCTACTGGTTGCAGGTGGTTGATTACATCTGTCAGATTCAACTACTACAGTATCTCGCAAAAAAAAACGTTTATCTTAATATCCAAATTGTATATTATTTTAAAGTTGAATGCTTGCTATTTTGAGTGTATTGTTTTCATTGAAGGTTTCTGAAATTTGCTCTTCAATGTTATTATAATGGGTTTTTATTTTCAATGATCCCTTTGAATTTTTCTAATATTTGGATCGATTTCATCTTCTCCTCGTTAAACTTTTTTCAACTGTCACAAATTATAATTCATAATAATATAAAATCTGAGTATTAAAATATATTTTTTTTTGTGTGAAACACTGTAGTACATAGTTTAATCTAAAAGCCGTAATCGATAATCGGTTGCATATATTCAGTTTTTTACTTCTCGTCATTGTGCTGTAATTCGAGGAAGCAGTATTTTTGAAGAGGGCATTTGAAAGGATTGATAGAGATATTTTGTTAGGTAAATTGAAGGCATATGGTATAACAGGAAGTGTTTTAGATTGGTTTAGAAATTATTTGTCTAAAAGGATGCAAGTTACAAAAGTTAATAACACTATTTCATCAAAAATTGAAAATACGTTGGGTGTTCCACAGGGCAGTATCCTGGGACCACTTCTTTTTATTTTATACATAAATGATTTACCTGCCATAGTCAAAAAATGCAAAATTCAGATTTTCGCCGATGACACTATGATTTATATAAGTACTAAAAATATTCAGTCTGGTATCTCTTATATAAATGAAGACTTGAAGCTTGTCTCAAAATGGTTAGCATCTAACAGACTAAAATTAAATGCAAGTAAAACGAAAGCCTTGTTAATCGGAAAAAAACAATGTACAAATGTTCAACTGAATATTGATGGTGAAGATATTGAATTCGTAGAAAATTTTAAATACCTGGGTGTTTTTGTTGACTCTCGATTAATTTTTGGTATTCATTATGAAAAAGTTATAAATAAGATTAGTAGTAAAGTGGGATATTTATCGAGAGTTTCTGGATGTCTGAGTTCATATAGCAGAAAAATTATCTATAATACCATCATTCTTCCAAATTTCTTGTACTGTTCGACTATTCTATATTTAGCAAATAATTCCATTTTTGAAAGACTGCAAATTTTACAAAATAAGTGCCTGAGAATAATACTAAATAAAGATAAATATACTCCAATTAGGCAATGCTTAGCAAATTAAAATGGCTCAACGTAAAAAATTTTATCAAATATCTTGTAATGATATTCATTTATAAAGTAAAAAATAATATATTTCCATCAAGTCTAACTAATTTAACATCATCAAATGTCAACCATCATTTACATAATACCAGAAATAAAGATGACTTCCATTTGCTACAAATCTGTATTCCATCAAGGGTTGATTGAATATAATAAATTATACTCGGAGATAAAAGACCAGAAAACTTTGACAAAATTTAAAGTAAAATTGAGAAATCACTTGTTAAATCTACAATTATAGGTTGCCCAGCATTTACATCATACACCATATGGCTTGAATTTACTAGTACTAAGTTGTTTACAATTATTCTGTTTATGTAGAAAAATGTGCTAAATAAATCTTTCTACTACTACTACTACTACTACTACTACTACTACTAGTGGGCAAACGGTTGGTCACTGGGTCCAGGGGGGGGTGTGAGGTGCTGGTACTGCACTCCAATAAAACCCTTGTGAAACGCCCACAGTCTACAAAAGATAAGAACCAACAAGTCCTATATCCCACCTTCGTCGAACTTGACCCTGAGTTCGGCAGGTGTCCGCCGAAGGTATGACGCTGGGAGGGCTCCCCGATAGAGTTATACCGCCAACGGGAAGGACAAAAGCGGGTCTTCGGGCGCTTAAAAACTGAAGCATACCAGCAAGGACCGGACGACGACGACTTGGCAATGGACTGGACGAGGTAATGGTTATGGAACGACGATGACGACATGGTGGGATAGATGACGACTTGGCAATGGAAACGGAAACAAAACAAAATAAAATATGAAATATGAACAGAAAAGTGCAGAAGGTAGAAGTTACGGTGCAGGGACTCGGAACCCCAGTACCGGTCGGTGACGGTGGTGCTCGCTCTGGCCCCGCCCGACCGTTAGCCAGTGACAGGGCGATAACTCCCGTGAGCAACCAGGCGGGAGTGGAAGAAATAGTGTCTGGAATGATAATAGACGATGAGGGGAACATCAATCCCTTTGAAAGGAGGGACTCCTTACATCGAACGCCTCCGAGAGGCAGACTTCACTCTTGGGCAGGAGATAACTCCATCTTCACTGTCAGTCAGCCGCAGAAGAGAGCGCGGGAGGAAACCCCTCCGAAGGAGAGTCAGAAGGCAGCAAATATGGAACAAGAAAAGCTGATAGGGGAAATGAGAGGTCTGTTGCAAAAGTTGTCACGTTCCGGAAAGGAATTGACTGACATCGTGCCTACAAATACCAAGGCTGAAATCAAAAAGGGAGTCAATGTGATGACCCGAATTGCAGATACGGTGTTGCTAAAGCTACGCGAGTTTGAGGAACTACGTACAGAGCATCTTAACTGCCAGACCTCAGAAGCGTATACGCAGGTCGAAACCACTACAACAGGAGAGACGGGCTGTAGCACCAAGGACGTAGGGACGCAAGTGAACATCGACTATCAGGCAACCAAAATTAACAAGGAAGTAGAAAATGGGAGCTCCTTCGAAGAATTCGCCACCCTCTTGGACACTGAATGGCCTGAATACGTTTATAAAACCACGGAGTGCGTGGGGCCTAATCCGCTTAAGGCAGGCGACGAGTGGGACATGGCTCTGGTTATAGATGCTGCTAGCCCGGCAGCAAAAGGAGCGGTCAAGTTAGTCAAGGAACGATATCCAGAAATTTCGGACTTAATCGGTGGTCAAGTATTAGAGGGTGGAGTAGAATTCATGGAAATGTCGACCAAAATATCGACGAGCCGTGGAAGGCAGGACAATAAATCGAGATTTATCTTCCTACTGCCTTATAAAGTGGACCCTGACGGAATAAACGATATGCGAGACCTATACCAAGTCTTATGCAACTTGAGGGAGGAAACCATAAAGCATAATCGCCACAAAATAGTTGTAACTACTCCGGAGGAACTGGATAAAAACTACACTAGAAAACTGCTGGAGTGTGTTTTCAGGAAAAGTGGGATACAGGTGAAGTACGCGGTACAAGGAAAAGTAGCAGCTGAAGTAGGCAGGACAAAAACAAAGCCACCAGACCGACAAAAAAGTCGAGCACGTCAGGAAACAGTGGTGGTTAAAGGGCAAGGGAAAACTTTTGCGGAATTGGTCAGAACAGTTAAAGAAAACGTTGACATCAAGAAGATTGATGTAAATGTCACAAGCATAAGGAAACAAGAAAATGGTGACCTAGTCCTTGTGGTGGACGGAGAAGGTAAGGCAAATGCCTTAAGAGATGAAATAACGTCGAAGGTCAAAGAGGTGGATGCACGCACAAGGAACTCGGACGTCACTCTTTTTGTGTTTGGCATCGACCCTTCGGTAACGACGGCAGAAGTCTCGCAAGCCATTACGACTGACACCGGCATTGAGGGCTCTCGCTTTCGGATAGCCGCACTAAAAGTGGGTAAATTTGGAAACCAGACGGCGACGGTGGTAATGGATAAGATACCAGCAAAGCACCTAATTCAAAAGGGACGTATAGTGACCACCTGGTCTATATGGCCGGTGAAGGAGCGGGTCTCGATCTTGCGCTGTTTCAACTGCCTAGAGTTTGGCCATAGAGCTGAAAGGTGTACTGGAGCAGACAGAAGAGGTGAATGCAGGAACTGTGGCCAGGCAGGACACCAGCGGAAAGACTGCAAGAACACCTCGTTTTGCACTACCTGCAAGACAGCTGGACATCGAGCAGACCAAATTAGGTGTCCTGGTTTTAGGAAACTGGTGAACCAGGCAAGGATATCAAGCCTGGTGTCCAGAGGATAGAAGGATTAAACAACAGCCACCAAACCCATGGCCTGTATCCTCCAATGTAATTTGAACAGGTCCAAGTTGGCTCAAAATGTGCTCCAACAAGCTACGCAGGAATACGCAGTGGACATGGTCATAATTTCTGAGCAGTACAAAAATGAAAAACATTCCAACTGGTACACAGACCAAACCGGAACTGCTGCAATTTGGGTTATCAACCAGTCCAACTTCCCAGTATCCGACTATGGCTCTGAAAACGGTTTCGTATGGTTAAAGACTGGAACGAGAACCTACGTAAGCATCTATTTGTCTCCGAACGACAAAGTTGATATATTTCGGGCGAAGTTAGACAAATTGGAAGAGACTTTACAAAACTTGGGCAACAACGTTGTCTTAGCTGGCGACTTCAATGCAAAATCGACCGCATGGGGTATGGATTGGACCTGTTCGAGAGGTACAGCGATCATTGATCTAGCAGCTAGATTCGATCTAACTATCCTGAACACTGGCAATACATCCACTTTCAGGAGAAGTGGTCAAAGAGGGTCAATTATTGATATCTCTCTGGCATCTTCTTCAGTAGCGCGCGCGGTGACAGAATGGGCAGTTCTGGAAGATTACTCCGGAAGCGACCATCAATATGTCAGGTTTAGGATCCAACTAGATGGTGGAAGGAAAGATAAACCTACGCAAACCACTATTGGGGGATGGAATATTTCCCGTTTGAACAAGGATATCCTGAGCAGACATCTTACCAATATCGAAGTTATTGCTACTCAAAATGCAGAAATATCTATGCAGAATGCAGAGGCCTTGGTGGAGAACACAATGCAGCAAATTATTAACTGCTGCGACGCCGCCATGCCTAGAAGATCTGCCAAATGTTTCAGGAGACAGGTTTATTGGTGGAATAACGAGATCGCAGAACTTCGTAAAAGAACTCTGCAGCTACGACGCATTGTACAAAGGGCTAAGAGAAGGGACCAACGAGATGTAGCCATGGAGCAACAATTCAAGGAAGCCAAAAGGCAACTGAGAATAGCGATTCGTGCTAGTAAGAAGGCATGCTGGAAAAGTCTCTGTAATGACGTAGACCAGGACGTATGGGGACTAGGCTACAAGATAGTGATGCGACGTCTTGGACAGCAGAGACCTGTTGGCCCATTTGAGCTGGAAAGAATGAAGGAAATCGTAACCACTTTGTTCCCTGAACACCCGGACAAACCCATTAAGGAATTTCAAGTCCACGGAACCTTTGATCTTTTCACTGAAGAGGAATTGAGAGCCGTCGCTAGCGTAGCGAAAGTCAGGAAGTCCCCGGGACCCGACTGTATCCCGATAGAGATTATCAAAGCTATAGCGCTCGAACACCCAACTATTCTGCTGAATATGTACAACACTTGCCTCCAAGCAGGTATCTTTCCAACAAGATGGAAGGTACAGAGGCTAGTACTGCTAGACAAGGGAAAGGGTCTACCCATAACACCGTCTTCGTTTAGACCACTATGTATGCTGGACGATGCGGGCAAAATATTTGAAAAGCTTATTCGACAGAGACTACGTGATGCAATCGAAGACGCTGGAGGATTATCCGCCCATCAACATGGATTCCGACCGCGCCATTCAACAGTAGGAGCACTGCGTGAGGTGGTGGAACAAGCGTACACGGCCTGGCGAGGAAATCACCGCAGTCGCAGTATCTGTGTTCTGATCACCTTTGACGTGAAAAACGCCTTCAACTCAGCAAGGTGGGTCGATATCATGAATGCCCTAGAAGAGCGCTTCAAGATCCCGGCATACCTACTACGGGTGATTAACGACTACCTCTCCAACAGAAGTCTGACTTACGAAACCCTAGAAGGTCAGCAGGTTCAGAAAGTCACTGCCGGTGTAGCCCAGGGTTCTGCGCTTGGGCCTGACCTATGGAATGCGATGTACGATGGGATCCTAAGAATCGAGCTACCGAAATGTGTCCAACTAGTGGGGTTCGCTGACGATATCGTTGCCGTGGTAACTGCCAGGGACATGGAGACTGCACGCCTAGAAACCGAGTTTGCAGCGCACTCGGTGCACTTTTGGATAAAACAACACGGCTTACAAATGGCTGCAGACAAGACCAAAGTGACCGTGCTTACCAGACAAAGACTACATTCCCTGCCCCTGGTGCTAAACTTTTCGGGAGTCACCATCACCTCTCATGAAACGGTGAAGTATTTGGGAATATGGTTGGACCAAAAACTGACATTCAAGCAACATCTCACAGAAGTGGCAAACAGAGCCACAAAAGTTGTGACCGCGCTATCTAGGATTATGCCAAACGTCGATGGTCCTAGAGCAGATAAGAGGCGGGTACTGATGAACGTCGCCAATTCAATGATGCTGTACGGAGCGGAAATCTGGGCTAACGCAATGACAATCGAAACCTACAGAAGAAGACTCGCATCAGTTCAGAGAACAGCAGCTCTGCGAATATCGTCAGCGTATCGCACTGTCGCTGAGGGGGCCATTTTGGTAGTAGCAGGCGCCATACCGATTGATCTTTTGGCACTGGAACGTCAAAGGTTGTACGACACCAGTGAAATACCAAAACCTTTCACTGCAGTCAGGCAACGGACCCTGCGTGAGTGGCAGGCAAGATGGGAGAACGATCCTAAGGGCTCCTGGACGCACACACTTATTCAGCAGGTTGAACCTTGGTACTGTAGGAGGCATGGGGATGTAAACTTCTACATCACTCAGTTTCTTACAGGACACGGGAACTTCAACCGATACCTGAACCTGCGTACCATTAAGGATAGTCCCTACTGTCGCTATTGCCAGACGGACATCGATTCAGCCGAACACACCTTCTTCGACTGTAGGAGATGGGCTGTACTGAGGAGACGGTTGGAACAACAAATAGGATTAACCTTCACACCTGAGTCGGCGGTGCCCACGATGCTTGCCAGCGAGAATCACTGGCATATGATCTCATCTTTCGTGGAGGAACTACTAAAACTGAAGAAGGCAGACGATGGAGAACAAACATCCCCGAACTCCTAATCCAGCAGGTCCGGGATGGGAGATGTAGGGTGCGATTGGACGACTACTACGAGGACAACTGAAGAATAAGACGATGAAGACAAGACAGCCTGCGTGCGTGAAGTTATGCCATCTTGGCGGTTCCAGCACAAAGGCGGTTCGTAGACCCACTCGCTCCAGGTTGCGGCCTGGCGACGGTCCTATAAAAAAAAAAAAAAAAAAAAAAAAAAAACTACTACTACTACTACTACTACTACTACTACTACTACTACATTGTTATTTTGCATTTTTATTGATCTTTAGCACATATATAAACCAAATCTTCCCAATTTTATCATCGAAATGCAAAGAAAAATCTTTCAGATATCGATGACAGCTATAGCCTACTGTGACGTGAAAATTTAAATCCTCCATTGGAAGCGTTTTTGTTTTCATTGTTTCCAAGGAAGCCTCACGCTTCAAAGAAGGTCTATCAATGTGACTCTGTAAGTTCTGGTATATTTTAGCGCCATCGAGGCAGGCGTGAGGATTCAGGAAGAACTGGTCTTCAAAGGTGACGACTTCTATGCAGATTCTAAGTATATTTTGTATACAAGCGAAGTTGAGGAGGAAATTTACGAAGAAGCTTCAGATGATTATATCTTCACCATAAAACAGCTTGATGAGGTAATATCGATACAAGAAAAGAATGACGTCAAGTAGGTTGACTGAGCACTTCCCATGTAACTGTCATCATCAGTTCAGAAAGGATTATGTTCGGCACAAGTTAGAACCTCCGAGTAAAAAGTTAGATACGAACGTGTATATCAAAAAATGGATCATGTCGATCAAACAGAAACAGGCCCATATAATGAGTCCATACTCCATAGTCCCCACCCATTTGATAACGTCTCGACCGACCGCGCCTACAAATATACTAAATGATATAGAAAATATATCAACGACTAGGAATGCGGTAATTTTTAATATACTTTAGGTCTACTGAGCTAAGATATCCCACCTTAACGTTAATAACGTGTTGAAGCTCCTCTGTTCGCTTCACATTCGTTAAGTCGTTGCGGCATTGGTTGGATTAGGTGATTGATGTTCTGTATCCCATGCCATCTGAATTTGGTTTCATAGAACCTCCAATGTTTGTGGAGGGTGCGGTGAACTTTACAACCTTCCCATCATGTCCCATACATGTTCGGTGGGGGAAATGTCTGCATTATCGTGCATTGTCCTGCTGAAAAAGTGGATCTTGCAATATTGCCAAAAAGAGAAGCAGATGTGGTTGTAAAACTTCGTGGATATAGCGCCGGGCAGTCATGCTACCTCAAATGAACACTAATCATAACACCCACAGTGCGATGAATATGCCGTTCGATGGAATATTGGTGGTATTTCACCACGTCTCCTCCTTACTCTTGCACGGCCATCATTTGTGCTCAAACAGAACCTGGACTCATCGCTGAACACGACTGAGTTCCATTCCTTATCCCATTCAAGTCTGTCCCTACTCCATACCAAATGTTGCCGAAGATGCTGTGGGGTCAGAGGTAGTACAAGATGAGCCGGTATGAAATCAGTCGAAAAGACCTTATTCGGCGATAAACTGTCATTGTTATTGCCCTTCTGACAGCATCAAACCACTGGTTCGCAACTACCCTTGTTGGGGAAAATCGAACCCTAAGGCTCGTATCGTCAGTCGTCCCTACAATTGTAGGGCGCCTTTATGGCCTCCTTGATTGTCATAGTTTTCTACTTCTCCGTGTCAGCGTTCTATTTTGAGGTTATGTCACAAACATCTATTTGCATCAAATTGTGCTTGCTTTTGAGTTATATCATTTTTTATTATTCTGAAATTTCCTACAATTTAAAAAGAAAACATATCTTTACAATAGGAGAGCGCTGATGCTGACACGGGACAAGTGTAATCTAGAAATTTTTGAAGGAGAGAAAGAAGTATGACAATCAAGGAGGCCATAAACGCGCCCTACAATTGTAGGGACGACTGACGATACGGGCCTAAGTGCTTGTTGCCTCAAATAACGATCTTGTCGCTCTGTAGTCTTTGACGTCCAGTACCTCGAACTCGTCGATTTCGGCCTTCTTGGAACCACACTCGACAACATCTCATTACAGCAGCTTCGTTTCGATTCACCCGATTAGCGATACCTCTAAAAGAAAATCCGATTCCACGTAACTTGATCATCCGGCCCCCGGAAAGTTTAGTGAAATTAGCGCATCTACGAACTCTAGGGATGATAATGCAATGAAACAACAATGAAACAAATGGGACCAACCCAGAAAATCACTGAATATTAAGAAAACATGTTCATATTGTTCGAATCCTGATATGACCAAAATGCCTTTAGAAAAGAAGTACGGCTAGGAATGCCTTCAACATTTTATTAGCGTATACTTCCATGATAGAAAATTTTACAAGTTTTTATCCAAATTCGGTTAATAATTCTGGGTGTTGCATTTTATATGTCACTTAGTATATTTTGTATTTTAAGGACAAATAATGTACGGAGAAATCTATAATGTAAAAAAAATTGGTAGGTATTCCCTCCCGTACCCCTGAAACCCCTAACCTCTTATCTTTAACTCCTACGAACATTTTTCTGAAAATCATCAGGAGCCTCAAAAACGAAGTTTGGGCGATTCTTACTTTTTCGTTTGATAAATTTTTCTCCGTCGTCACTGGACTGATTTTCAAAAAGTACAAAGCTTCTTCGTCCTTGGTATAGTGGTAGCATCGTCTAAAAGCTGCATCAAAATCCGATCCGACACGTTTTATACCGATTACAATACGCCAGTAGGAGTGTGAAGTAAAAATGATTTGAATGCGGCCTACAAATATCAGAAACTAAAAAACAAGAAGTCCTAAAACATGGAAGAACGATTAACGAAGACTTATTTTCTACATCATGAGATTTTTATTTTTGCCTCTCATGCTAAACGCGAGAAGCATTGATATTGCAAATATTTTTGAATTCCAAATGCCGTTTCTTAATGTTTAATATGTCATACACCAGGGCTGTCCAACTTAATGTGGCCCAAGGGCCACTTCAAAAAAAATGCAGTTTGGAGGGCAGCATTATAAAATCTTTCTATACAACATTATTACTGAGTTTTAATAGGTATATACTATACTATATGGTATACAAAAATAGTTTTTCTATTATTTTTATTTATTCAAAAAATATGAAATTACAAACAAATCAGTGGGACATTTGAGGATGTTGGTTTTCTAATACTAATGCATCAATATTAGGGGAAGTCCAATTTATTATTGGTTATAAAATTTGTTCCTATTTATACAGGGTGACTTCGAAGTTGAGTCATTTATTTTAACAGTGAGTAGATCTGATCAAAAGAAATGTTTTTTTCCTTTACCATTTTTCTGGTAAAATTAAAGTAACAAAGTTATAGCCCTTTGGAAGTTTGAGTACCGCCCTGTCTCAATAATAATATTATGTGATCGTGTTTGGCAACAACGGATATAATCCGCCTTATCGGTTCATCGCATCGGAAACAAAAAAGCGAAAGAATTTGGAACGATGTTTTTACAATTATTTTATTCAGTTGTATACAGTCAATGTCAGTCGGTAACGCGTGAGTGAATAGTGGTGTCTGTTGCGTGGCTCAAAAGAAATAAAATATGGCACATGTTTATTCGGATCGGTTTCCCAATCGAGTGCAACCAACCCCTCGTGCCTTTGTTAATGAAGTACAACGGGCTCGTGAATCAGGTGACTTAAGACCTCACAGGGGACGGCATGCCGGTGCTCCAAGACCTCACGATCAAATACAGGTCCGCACTGAAATACTTGTCGGGAGGATACTTTATAAAACAAGGCAACATTTTTTTTTTTTAATTTTTTTTTATTTTTACACACATATTTTGCTTTATCTTCCTTCTACAATCATTATCTGAAAATTAATGACTCAACTTCAAAGTCACCCTGTATAAATCAATAAATTTTAGATGCTTTCGTAGCATATATTTTTAGGAACCTTGTTTTATCATTTAAATCTCAAAAAAATAAATCAGAAAAAAATATATAGTTTTTTATTTTTTTGAAAACATGGGCAACTCTCCCACATATGCGGGAGACTTGCCCATAGTCAGAAGGAGAGTTGCCCACCCCCCTTATTGAATAAAAACAGATGTAAATAATAACTTTTGTATTCGAAAAACTCAAAAAATAAAACAAAAAACTTTACTTATTCAAGCACGAAACTAAATCTAAATCTTTGAAATCAGAATAAACATAAGTTTAATGCAAAAAACAAATAAAAATAATTATAAAAAAGTATGAACCTTCTGGGCCGTCAGAAACGAAGTCTTCTCGATATTTGATACGAGGGAATATAAAAAAGGGTGGAATAACGCTTCCAATTGCATTGACTGCAAAACAAACTGTCACCAAAGTGCCCCTCTCTGATGAAGTAACTTGACCAACCTGGTTAGCTTTTTTACTGGCCAATACCTTAGGACAATACTGAACTGTAGTACATTCTACTTCATCACAGTTATAAATATTTTGTGGTTCAAACTTAAATTTTTCTCGTACAATCCTTAAGTTTTGAAAACATCGTGTACATTCTTCCGATTGAAGCTTGTAGATCGTGCCAAGCTTGTTGCCTCCGGAGTTCTTAAACTAATTTCGGGATTTCTTGATAAAAAACCGCGAAACCAATCCTTCCCTGCCATACAATTTTTTGACCAACTTTCTGGATTTTTTTTGGAATTTGAAACTGCAAACTCAAAAGCTAATTTCATTCCTTGTTTTCGAGTAAGTCCTTAGTGCATTTTGCTGCAATTTAAAAAATATTCAACCAGAAGCTTCTCTTCTTGTATGGTGAATATTTGTGAAGTATTATACTGGCCTTTAGTTTCTATTTTTTCAAGTTTATTTTCATTGTTTTGTAGCGTCTCAAAGTCCTCCGATCAATATCATATTTTGCAGAAGTTTTTCGAAGAATTCCTATTTCATCTAGTGCATTTTTAAGAACATCCTTATCAAGTTTTTTGCGAGTGGAACCGTCTTTTGTTTTGTACTTAAATGGCATTGTACAGACCTGTAATAACAAAAATGCATCAACTTTTACTAAAATTAATTAAAAACAAATACCAATTTAGAATTACATCAGAAAGGGAGAGTTGCCCCTCTTGGCAAGTCTCCCTCCTAAGGTATGGGCCAGTCTCCTACACCTTTCTTTTTCAGGTTAGGTTCAATTTTCTTAAAAATCATGAATAGTGCACGTTTAACATTTATGGTGCATAAATCTACAATGTCTAATTAATATACCCATACAAGAATCTAAAACTTACCTTTTAATTTGCCCACAAAATCACGAAATTTGTAAGTATTAATTTTTGGTTTAAACGCAAAAAGCCACATGCCTCGGGTCAGATACAAAACAAACTGAGAAAAGTCAACTAGGATTTCGTAGACGCCTAGAAGCACTAGAGGGCGTCCCATTTTCTCTCGTTTCAGATTATGGTGCGCAATTTTAAAGTAAATATAAATATCACGAAGGGGCAAGTCTCCCACCTGGGCAAGTCTTCCGGATTCCCCCTAACATTAATATTTGTTGTTGATAAACGAAGTAACTGAGTAAGTGACTTATCAGAGATAAATTTCATGCTTGAAAAGCTGCTTTCGCAAAGATACGTGCTTTCCAATCATCAAGTTGGGGTATCGTTCTCCTGGCAGTAACTTAAAAAAGTCCAAGCCAATCTCAGTTCTTCCTTGGTAAAAAGGATCTGATTGCAAATCACACAATTCCAGTTGAAGGTCTGCTCTGCTTACGTTCTCAAGAGAAATTGGTAGTGGCTGAGTAAAAACTGAAATGTCGCTTTCGATTTTTTTAAAGTCACTGAATCGATTTTTGAATTCTTCTGCAATTGTGCCAATGTGTTTTATATGAGGTAAATATGAAACTTCCTCAAAATCCTTCATTTCTTCGAAATGTTCTTTACAACTTGGAAAAAATGAAAAATCATTTTTTTGTGATCAAGACTTGAAAAGCTTAATTTTATTCTTAAACCCATTTATGTGTCCAAATAAGTTGGCAATATTCTGCTGTTTTCCTTGTAGCTTCAAATTCAATTCATTAAGGTGAGATGTCATGTCTGTTAAAAATGCAAGGTCTGCTAAAAGTTGTGCATCTGCCATTTGATTTTCCAGTTCCGTAGTGTCGGACTTCATTTTTAAGTAAAATAGGAATTTCCTTGCGTAGAGCGAAAAATCGTTGCAAACACTTTCCGGCGTTTAACCAACGAACATCAGTGTGAATTAACAAGTCCCCATATGTAGCATCCACTTCGGCCAAAAAATCACGAAACTTTCTGTGAGTCATTTCTAAAAACTACAAAGCTTTATGGTCCTTGGAACAGTAGTTGTCTCGTATGAAAATTTCATCAAAATCCGAGCAGCACTATTCAAGGACTAGCGGGCAGACAGACCGTAAGCCAGACCGACAGAAAAACCGACGGACAGACCGACATACAGACTGATAGACATATGGAAATGAGTGACACGGTTTTTCATGATGGATGACATCACATATCTCATTTTCGAAATTTTTCGCGATTACAATACTTCCTCGCCAGTAGACGTGTGAAGTAATAAAATGGAAAAGGCAAAAGAGGCAGCTTCTCAGAGACGCACACCTTGTAGGTGTATCATAAATGATGATTCGGCGTATTTTCAATCAAATTTTTTTAAGGTATCGAAGATTTTCCTGGACTTGGCTCCAAGCGGGTGGCTGCCACTACGTAGTTTTACATTCATTCTTCAGGACATGACCGTCAGCGATCAACAGAAGTCGGTGCCAAAAATGTGGTTCAATCTACCCGTAGAAGACATCGACAAACTGATAAAGGAGCTTTTCGGAACGTTTGAGATGGTGCCTTGGAAAGAATTTGTGCTTTACAATTTGATGGTAGCATTTCCTACTGAGGATGAGCTTTTGAATTGCAGAAGGGCTTTCTTGGAATTTGACGAGGTATCAAATAGTTATTTGTTTACTTGGAGCTAAAAGAACTGCTTTGCCGCACGAAAAATGAACTTCTTATACAATCGCTTCAATTTATCTTCCCTTGTACTATATTTGAATACGCAATTTTAAAAACTGTATGTCATATTTTTTTCAACTGTCCGTTTCTGACGAATGCTATTGAAAATACTAGAATGCTATAGGATAACAAATACCGAGCTAGCGTCATTGCGTTCGTATTTGATAGAAAGCAGTTTGTAAGCCCTGAGGGCACCGCGTCTGGCTTTTGCCTATTTGCAACGAGGTACTGCAGGGATCAGTACTTGGCCCTCTGCCATTTAATATATATATATACTTTGAAGTTGAGTCATTAATTTTCAGATAATGATTGTAGAAGGAAGATAAACCAAAATATGTGTGTAAAAATAAAAAAGAAAGTAAAAAAAAATGTTACCTTGTTTTATAAAGTATCCTCCCGACAAGTATTTCAGTGCGGACCTGTATTTGATCGTGCGGTCTTGGAGCACCGGCATGCTCTCCCCTGTGAGGTCTTAAGTCACCTGATTCACGAGCCCTTTGTACTACATTCAGCATTTTCGTAAACATGTGTCATTTTTTATTTCGTTTGAGCCACGCAACAAACACCACTATTCACTCACGCGTTACCGACTGACACATCGACTGAGTACAACTGAATAAGATTGTACATTGTAGTAAAAACATCGTTTCAAATTCTTTCGCTTTTTTGTTTCCGATGCAATGAACGGATAAGGCGGATTATATCCGTTGTTGCCAAACACGAGCACATAATATTATTATTGAGACAGGGCGGTACTCAAACTTCTAAAGGGCTATAACTTTGTTATTTTAATTTTACCAGAAAAATTTTAAAGGAAAAAAACATTTCTTTTGATCAGATCTACTCACTGTTAAAATAAATGACTCAACTTCGAAGTCACCCTGTATATATAGGGTGGCCCATCCATATGTAGACGGAATATTACTCATAAGCAAATACATTTTGGGAAAATCTAGTCATGGCATATTATACATGACATTTGAGGGCACATTTCTAAAATATTGGCAATTATACAGGGTGTACCAATTTTGACCTACATATCAAAGTTGTGATTCCTTAAATGGAATGTCTCAAATTTTATTACATATTTGGATAAGCCAATTCAAAAGACGAAGATTGATATAACATACCACGGGGTTTTGGTAATTAGCTGCTGAGATGTGAGGTGTTTCGTCCAGAAAAGCCGTCCTCTTCGGCAACCCCTTAATCCGTCATTCTGAAATTTGGAGCGCTGAATTTTGTATAAAAAAAAACTTACACATCTGAGCTTTTATCTTATTTGTTACTTTTTCGAATTTTCATTTTTGCTCATACAGGGTGGTCAAAAATGCGAATTGTACTTTTTCTCAAAAATTTCAAGTACATCGGCCTGTATATTTGTGCAAGTTTGGATTCAATTTTTTATAAGTTTTTTTTTGGTATAAGGTTTGATTCAGATAAAATAACTAGATTTTGAGTTATTAAGCTTTTAATAGAACAACACACCAAAATTAAGGAAAAAAAATCACATCATCCATGGAAACAGAACATTTGAATTTTTTGATCGAGCATTTGTCTTTGAGTTTGGATGATGTCAACCTGCAAACTCGGATGCATATGTACTTCCAACAAGACGGCGCACCTGCGCATTATCATAATCGTGTGCGTAACTATTTGGACACCTAGAGAACAATCGTTGGATCCGTTGTGATCGACCTATATCTTAGCCTCCTAGATCACCAGATATGACACCGATAGACTTCTTTCTATGGGGCTACGTTAAGCAAGAGGTTTATAGATATCCACCATCTACTTAGGAAAATATCAAGGAAGGGATTAAGGATGCTTTTCTGACCATAAGGCAACACATGCTGAGGGATGTGCAAAGGTCATTTATCCAAAGACTACGGCTGTGTATTCAACATGGTGAAGATATTTTCGAGCAGTTTTTGTGGATTAGGTCTTGTGTAGTGATAGTTGTTTGTTTATGTTGTTGTTATAGTTGTTTGTCTCTATTCCGCTTGACGCTGATTTATACTGTTCTGATTGTTATTAGTTTTTACGTCAAATCTGTATTCAATCTTCTTCTTTTGAATTGGTTCATCCAAATATGTAATAAAATTCGAGGCATTCCATTAAAAAAATCACAACTTCTATATGTAGGAAAAATTGGGACACCCTGTATAATTGGCAATATTTTAGAAATGTGCCCTCAAATGTCATTTATAACATGCCATAAATAGATTTTCTCATAATGTATTTGTTTATGAGTAATATTCCGTCCACACATGGATGGGCCACCCTATATATATATATATATATATCTTGCCCTCGAGAATTGATAACGGATCCTGCTTCACATTTAAATTTATATGATCATCGTCGGCCCGACCGTAACCAGTATAGAGAGTTTTTGCTACTTTATCGCTCTAAAGCGCCAAACCTGTCATTTGCGATCGTTAAACGTTAACTATTTGATTCAATTGGAGGAGAAATAATACAATTACCGAACTCTCATTTTTAAGGAGGTCACAGGACTTGTTACCAAAGATAATTTCAAAGAGATGAAATTATGGTTCGAAGGAGGTGAAAAAATTGAAAGACTACTTATGATCAAAGATCTATTGTTCAAGTTATACAGGGTAGACGGAACTTGGTTCAACTATACGGCCATGCTTTTGGATTTTTGTAAAGGAAAAAATACTGCCGAGGGACTTGGAAAGGCTCTTACCCTTTCCTTTGGTATTAAGGTAAAACATATTTGTAAGTTTTTAGATTTATTCAGATGGATTTCTTCAAGGTCATCTTGATTATGCATTAAAGTGTTTACATTAATGGACAAATTCGTGGATTATCTGTCAATGTGTTGCCAATCACACAAAAAATTTTTGCTGGAATTTTAAGCGTTTATGTTGTGGTTTTGATGCGAATCTAATAAAAAGAAAGCATATTGTTGAAAATTCTAGTTCTATCACAGCTCCACATTTGAATTGAACAGTTGTTCAATATAATGGAAAGGAAAACAAGTTTAGCACCATGGAATTTGACGTCGAACCTGGCAAAAATTAGAACCCGTTCTAATTTCGTGTAGAAATTTACGAAGAACATGAATTCATCAAGAAATCCGTGGATTTATTGCCAATGTAAAACGGGTATTACCTAGATACCATTCTCACTGAAAACAGATTTTATAGCTACTATCATCACGAAATGCTCGTCAGTAGTAAAGATACCGACTGTCACATTGACATCTGCGGTAGTACTCTCCAGCATGAGCGTAGTACCCGCCTGAAAATCCGGCTTGACCTTAAAATTTGCTTATTAAGCACGATTTTCTGTACAATTTTTGGGATTCTATTAATTCAACCCCTTGAGAAAATTTGCTACTCTCCGCTCTTCTAAAAGTTTTTGGGCAGGTACAATTTCACAAAAAGTTACCTCTTGCCGATGATCGGCGCTGCTGAAAAAAAAAATCCTGCTGGCGCCCATGACTGATAGTCATTAAGAAAAACTCATATTTTGTAGGTATGTTCCGAAAAAGAGATGGGTGATGATCAAGCGACAAATATGATACTAGATCGAGCCTTCTATGAAGAAGAACTTGCTAGAAGAGAGGAAGAACGTTTTGATAACATCGAATATATCGACGGAGTTGTTAAAGAGTTGATCGATCAAAGCGTGCATCTATGCGAAAGTACCATCATTGAAGAGGTAAGTAAGGTTGACGACACAGAGTATTACCAGAGATGACATACTTGTCAAAAATCAGGTTCTATCAACGCCAACTTTAGTCGTATGCGTTTGGTAGGATTTACATTGCTGTCAACTGTTACTATGACATTTAGGCCCGTATCGTCAGTCGTCCCTACAATTGTAGGGTGCGTTTATGGCCTCCTTGATTGTCATACTCTTTTCTCTCCTTCAAAAATTTCTAGATTACACTCGTCCCGTGTCAGCGTCAGCGCTCTCCTATTGTTAAGATATGTTTTCCTTTTGAATTGTAGGAAATTTCAGGCTGTTAAAACATGATATAACTCAAAAGCAAGCACAATTTGATGCAAATAGATGTTTGTGACATAACCTCAAAATAGAGCTCTGACACGGAGAAGTAAAAAACTATGACAATCAAGGAGGCCATAAACGCGCCCTACAATTGTAGGGACAACTGACGATACGGGCCTTAGGCCCGATTTTATCAATTCGAGGCGCAAAGTTTTAGCCTATGGCTCAGATTAGACCAATGAGACGGCGTTTTTGAAGTAACCGATCTAATGAATATGGTCGATTTCTTGTAAAATGTCCTCAAACTAGAGAAAAATTATATGGTTTGCATAAAATGGTCCCCTATTTCTCATATTAAATCAATAAATACCTCATATATTTCCTGCTTTACCTACAAAAACCTATTTATTCAATTGGTTTCGGACACAAAATTCGACCAATCAAAAATAAGGATTTGCGGACCATTACAGAACATTTTAATGAAAATAACAGTGTCACTACTTACGTGAGAGAGATAATCTAAAAGAAGTATATCTAGATTTTAAAAAACAGTGTGTGGATGTGGTTGTTACGGTGTTTGACTGAAATTATTCAGTCATTACAGGGAATAACTGAAATGCTTAGTCAAACGTAATAATCAAACTGTTGCGGTGTTTGTCGGCAATACGGGCACTGACTAGGCATTTCAGGGAATGACGGATTTCAGCGTTTGACGCCGACATATATATATATATATATATATATATATATATATATATATATATATATAGAGTAAATGAGCATGCGGAGATCCGCATGATCATTTTCTCTTTGTAGATCCTTTGGGCATGAAGTACCACAGCAAGTGGCTATAATCGGCCGCGTGGTTGTGGTTAGATGTCTCCTTGAAAATTCGAGGTCTTCTAGCCATTTTATACTACAATCTGTAGGTTGGCTCTTGTTGTGGACTTCGTGTGTCGTTTTTTTCCCTCCAACTTCGTTTCCTCAGGTTACACCCGTATCCGGATGTCTGGGCATGTGTATCTACTTTTGTAGTTTCATATGTGCATTCATTTCGGGCCTAATGAAGCCGACCAGCAGAAATACGTATCGCTCGGGTTACCTATCCTGTTTTCTGCTGGAATCAATTTTTTCTTTTCCTATTTTTGTTATACAGGCTGACTTTGAAGTTGAGTCATTAATTTTCAGATAATGATTGTAGAAGGAAGATAAACCAAAATATGTGTGTAAAAATGAAAAAAAATTAAAAAAAAATTTACCTTGTTTTATAAAGTATCCTCCCGACAAGTATTTCAGTGCGGACCTGTATTTGATCGTGAGGTCTTGGAGCACCGGCATGCCGTCACCTGATTCACGAGCCCGTTGTACTACATAAACAAAGGCACGAGGGGTTGGTTGCACTCGATTGGGAAACCGATCCGCATAAACATGTGCCATTTTTTATTTCGTTTGAGCCAAGCAACAGACACCACTATTCACTGACACTGACTGTATACAAATGAATAAAATAATTGTAAAAACATCGTTCCAAATTCTTTCGCTTTTTTGTTTCCGATGCGATGAACCGATACGGCGGATTATATCCGTTGTCGCCAAACACGAGCACATAATATTATTATTGAGATAGGGCGGACACTGACTGTATACAAATGAATAAAATAATTGTAAAAACATCGTTCCAAATTCTTTTGCTTTTTTGTTTCCGATGCGATGAACCGATACGGCGGATTATATCCGTTGTCGCCAAAAACGAGCACATAATATTATTATTGAGATAGGGCGGTACTCAAACTTTCAAAGGGCTATAACTTTGTTACTTTAATTTTACCAGAAAAATGGTAAAGGAAAAAAACATTTCTTTTGATCAGATCTACTCACTGTTAAAATAAATGACTCAACTTCGAAGTCACCCTATATATATATATATACAGGGTGACTTCGAAGTTGAGTCATTTATTTTAACAGTGAGTAGATCTGATCAAAAGAAATGTCTTTTCCTTTAACATTTTTGTGGTAAAATCAAAGTAACAAAGTTATAGCCCTTTAGAAGTTTGAGTACCGCCCTGTCTCAATAATAATATTATGTGCTCGTGTTTGGAAACAACGGATATATCCACCTTATCGGTTCATCGCATCGGAAACAAAAAAGCGAAAGAATTTGAAACGCTGATCACGATGTTTTTATTCAGTCAATGTGTCAGTCGGTAACGCGTGAGTGAATAGTGGTGTTTGCTGCGTGGCTCAAACGAAATAAAAAATGGCACATGTTTATGCGGATCGGTTTCCCAATTGAGTACAACCAACCCCTCGTGCCTTTGTTAATGTAGTACAACGGGCTCATGAATCAGGTGACTTAAGACCTCACAGGGGAGGGCATGCCGGTGCTCCAAGACCTCACGATCAAATACAGGTTCGCACTGAAATACTTGTCGGGAGGATACTTTATAAAACAAGGTAAAATCTTTATTTATTTTTTTTTTATTTTTACACACATATTTTGGTTTATCTTCCTTCTACAATCATTATCTGAAAATTAATGACTCAACTTCAAAGTATATACTCGTATATATATATATATATATATATACAATGTGGTCAATAACTGGTAATGGTAATGATGCATTTTTAGACCCTCTTCTATCTGAACTTTTTTGTTGCCGACATTCTGTAACACCCTGAATATTTTGTGATAGGTGTTCGACGAAGAAACACAAGTCGCGGAGCAGGAACGTCAGCCATCGATAAAAATAGTTACTTTGGAGGATGAATCGAACTCATCGGTCACAGGGAAATTGAAAATGCCAGATGGAATAAAGAAAATTTTGTCCAGCAGAATTTCAGATCCGTACAAAGCCAGAGATGAAAAGGGAGTTCAAATAAATGTATATAGTGTCTCAATATTGGTACTTTGGAATTTAAATTTCGCGCTATTTTTGATTTAGACGCCGTACTTTTATGGATGTTATATGATATATACAGTCTGCAAAAACCAAAAGTTCTCATATTTTGGCTTGGAAAACAGAGTTGACATCGCTTTAAAATAATAGCAATTTTAACTTAAATTCTTGGCGACCTCAAAAATTATATTTTTCAAACGAGTTTTCAAGCATTGAATATACCCGCCCTGTAACCCAGATCAAATTTGTATAATGTTTTTTTTAATAAATTACATTTTTTTGGGATGACACTTTTTTCAGGTTTTTTCCTAACAAAAAAAGGTACCATTAACTTCTGTCAAAAGACGACTATTTTCGAGCTATAAGCGATTTACTGTCTGAAGAGCCCTAAAAAGCTTAAAAAGTAATAAGTATTTTTGAGGTTGTCAAGTGTATAAATTAAAGTTTAAAATTTGTTGAGTTTATCAGATTAGTTTAAGTTTAAAGCGACTTTTAACCAGACTGTACATCATGAAAAATCATATCATCCCTTTCCGTCACTTTGTCTGTCTGTCCGTCTGTCCGCTAATCCTTCGCCTGTCGATAACTTGAGAAGTACCGCTAGGATTTTAATGAAATTTTCGCACAAGGTTATCACTATACCAAGAACGAATACGCATTACAGTTTTTGAATATCGGTCCAGTGACGGCGGAGAAAAAGATCGAAAAAGAGAAAATACATATTATTTTCAGAATTTTTTTGCAGGGATTATACTCGTAGATTGGACATTTTTGGGTTGTAAGGGGTGGTACAGAGTATGTGTCATTTTATAGATGCTGACTATTAGACATATTTCATACATCACTGATTTCCCCGCACATGTTCTCATAAAACTGGTAATCAGAGATTATTTTCAATATACCCATGCCGTACAACTCAGCGATTGTGCAGCGTCAACCTACTTGACGCCACTTTACTTCCTATGCCCAAACCGGCGACGAAGTATTGTAAACGAGAAATATTTCGAAATTGAGATATATTTTTTAGACGTTATAAAGATGACATGTACGAGTCCCTTCCCACTTCAGTTGGCCCAACTATTGAAATCTTAGTTTTTTTCTTATCAAACACAAATAATAAAAATGTAGCAGGGTGTTATAGGTTTAAAATATTAACAATGAATATTTTGATAATATATAGTAGAAAACACCAACTTTATCACTCCCTAATCAAATTTGCAGCATATAAATAACACATGTTGCAATTACAGCATATTAACCTATTTTCATTTCAATGCAAAATAAGTCTATACCGCATAGGTGGCTGTGAAAAATAAAAGCCATGACAATTGTTTTTATTAATCACAGCTGTCAGAATACGTCAGAGATAAACCCTTCTAGAATACGCTTAAAATAGTTTTGGGTAGTTAAGGTTTTCAAAATGGGTAGAGGAAAGGTTATTAGTGAGAAAATTCGGTTACTGATAATTAAATTTTTTAATTCTGGGAAATAAAACTCTGAAATTTTGTTAGACTTATCGCGGTACAGTGTGAGAAATATTGTTAGAAGATATAACGTAACTGGCTCAGTTAATATTAAGCCACGATATGTGAAAAAAAGTGATATTTCAAATGCCGACCGAAGAGCATTAAAAAGAATAATCGTGAAAAACAAGCGTTGCACTTCTTTGTTAATTTTGGGGCGCTGAATCAAAAAATGACAATGGAATAAAAAAATTAGTTGCGGTTTAGAAAAAAAACTTTATAGTTTTAAGGATATATTAAAAAAGGTAACAAGATTCATATACTTATAAGAATCTCTATATGCGCTGTCTTTTTGCTGTTCTTTTATGGATCGTTTCTGGATCATCTCTACCAAGAGTCCAACAGTCTGCAAGCATGGAAGGATTCCACTTTCCCTGGTACCTTTTTCCATTGTTGAAATATCCTGATGAAAACGTTCGCCGTGCTCATCACTTACGGCTCCGCAATTGTCAGGAAAAAAGTCCAGGTGTGAGTGTAGGAAATGTATCTTAAGAGACATATTACAGCCCATCTTTTGATACGATGACAGCATATTTTTGACAAGGGTTTTATAGTTGTCAGCTTTTCTATTTCCCAAGAAATTAGTGACCACCAGACGGAAATCATTCCAAGCAGTTTTTTCAATACCTGTTAAAGTGTTTTCAAACTGTGTATCTTTCAAAATATTTCGAATCTGTGGCCCAACAAAAATACCTTCTTTAACCTTTGCCTCACTTAGTTTTGGAAATTTCTGATGCAGGTATTGAAAAGCTTACCCATCTCTATCTAATGCCTTGACAAAGTTTTTCATTAGGCCCAACTTGATATGCAGTGGTGGTAATAAATTTTTTTTCTAATCTACTAATGGCATATGCTGTACATTTTTTTGACCTCGCTCTAGGAATTCACGAACAGGCCAGTTTTGTCTGGTGTAATGAAGTGCCTTTGCCCGACTGTCCCATTCACATAAAAAACAGCAAAACTTTGTGTAGCCTAGCTGCAGCCCAAGTAAAAGTGCAACAACTTTCAAATCGCCACAAATATGCCATTGGTGCTCGTCGTATTTTATGCATGTCAATAGGTACTTCATATTGTCATATGATTCTTTCATGTGCACCGCATACCCTACAGGAAGAGATGGTAAAATATTTCCAATATGCAATAACACTGCCTTTAAACTCAATGTTGAACTGTCTATAAACAATCTCCATTCTTCTGGGTTATAGTTTATATTTGAAGCCGCCAGTAAGCCGTTAATGTTACTGCAGATAACCAAGCTATTCTCCATATTGAAAAATGGTTCTACGTCTTTGTGGCGTTTACGAAAAACACATACCGAAACATCGTCTTCTAACAAGTTCTACTGCTGCAGTCTTGATCCAAGTAACTCTGCCTTACATTTTGGAAGTTCTAAATCTCTTACAAGATCATTTAAGTCTGACTGTGTTATTTTGTGCGGTTGGTGACATGACGTGCTCGGTATAAAATCAGGATCTCTTGACGTTGATGGCATATCTTCTTCCTGACGAATCACTCGATCGCCATGATCTGATTCGTTTTCTGATTCGCAAGTGTAGGATTCTGGGGGTTTTGGAATAGGATTTTCGTCACTGTGAGGCACAGGTCTCATCGCAGATGGTATGTTTGGGTAGTTAATAACCGATTTTTTTTTTCTTGGACATACCTGTGGCTTGTCCAACACTAGGTACCATGCAAAAGTAACAATCATTAATATGATTTGTAGGCTCTCCCCAAACCATTGGGACAGCAAAGCGCATAGACCGTTTTTTGCCATTTAACCAGCTCCTCAGACTTGAAGCACATGTATTACAGCAGATGTGGGGTGCCCACTGTTTGTCTTGATCACCTAGTTTACAACCGAAATAAAGCTGATATGCCTTTGTTATTAGTGGACTAATAGACCGTCTCTGAGATGCAAAAGTCACATCACCACACACGTAACAAAACTGATCTGGATTGTTTACACACTTTCGAGACATCTTGCATGAACGCTGTCAGCCAACTGAGGAAAAAATGGCTAATATAAAACAATATAATGTACACGTTTGTATAACGTAACACAATCATGCCGATTACATCATCTTTCACTGCCGAATATAAAAATGTAGCACGTGCATTCTTGTGAATTACAGTATATTAACACTGTCACAGAAGGAACACATATAATTTCCGTATCTCTAAAACTTGAACTAATATTGAAAAAATAAGTTTCATTCCGGTTTTAGCACATTAAAAATAGTAATATTTTGTTGATTTTATTTAGGATATTTTTTGGCTGTTGATCAGTGTTATTTACAATTAAGTGCTCTGTGGAGTGACGCTGTTAGAAGGAGAATTTCGAGGTCCACAACTCATAGAGAGGCCCACAAACTGGGATTTAGCACTTGCAAGGTAAGTTTTCTTATAAAAAAAGTGAAGTAAAAACCCTAAAGTTGCACAACTTGTTTATACGCCAAAGAAAAGCCACTATTAACTCCACTGCAAAAGAAAAATCGGCTTAGATGGGCTAAAGAACATAGACAATTGACACCTCAACAATGGTGTGCAATACAATGGAGTGATGAGGCCCGAATCGAAGTTTGTGTTGGTGACAGTCGCAGTAGAGTTATTCGCAAAAAAAATGAAGCATTCCAAGTTGACTGTCTGAAGAGAAAAGTGAAATTTCCAGCATCCATTATGGTCTGGGGCAGTATCTCATCAAATTTTATTGATGGAAATGTGGATACAAACAAATATTTGGCAATTTTAGAAGAATCGCTTTTACCAGTGATGGAAGAATGTTTGACATCCGGTCAAGATTTTGTGTTTCAGCAAGATGGTGCAAAAGGGCTATAAAATGGATGGAAGAAAATGATGTACCACTTTTGAAATGGGGTTCTAGCAGTCCAGATCTGTCACCTATTGAAACTTTGTGGCACGAGATGAAAAATGTTCTACAACATCCTGCTCGTACAATCACCGAACTGAGACAAAAGCTTCAAGAAATATGGGATTGTTTTACACCAAATTTTGCCAAAACTTGGTTAACACTATACCCCAAAGAATTTCAGCCGTAATAAAAAATAAAGGTGATGTTATCCAATGGTAATCTTTCAATTGTTGCTTTGTTAACTTTGCACATTTGTTCGCACATTGTTTATTTGTTCAGATGTTCTATTAGTTATAGGTCTAAGTGATTTCAAATATGTATTTTTTATGACTAGAGTGTATCTAAAATGTTTTTGAGAAAATAAATTGTTTTAGAAGTAAATAGTTTCGTCATGTTTAGTTTACAAAGGCATATTTTGGTACAAATCTTGGAGTGGGCCAACTGAAGTGAGAAGGGGCTCGTATTATGTTAACTAAGATCACTTGTTTTACTATCAACGATATTCTCCAAGGTAAGGGGGTCAAGGGTGAAACATTGAGCAGGGGCGGATCTAGAAAATATTTTTTGGGGGTCCACATACTAAATTTGTAAATACCCGCGAGCGGAAAGCACTCAGGTTGATCCTGGGTGGTATCGATGATGGAAAATTAAAGAGTGGAGGGATCGGCGACTCAAAATTGAAGAGCAGCAAATTGAAAAATACGTTTGAAATTTTTTTGTAATTCGATATTTTGGGTGGAGGGGGACCCGACCCCCAGAACATCCCCTGGGTCCACCGCTATCATTAAGATCAAGCTTCGTTTTCTCTTGCTTCAGCCTGAACCAGACGAGTACGTAGAACCAAAATCCAGCGATGAAACAGAACCAAAATTGACAAAAAGCAACCTCAACGAGGACGAAACACAGCCAGTTGATGATGTTAGGCGAATGTCAAGCGAGCAGGAGTTGGAAGTTCAAGAAATGTCGGTACCTGAGCTTGAGGTTGAGCTGTCGGGAGTTGACGTTGTGAAGGAGTGCAATGAGCGGCGGTATCGGTATTTGATCAACGTTGAGGAGTTGAAGGATGTACTCAAGAGGGTCATTCCAGACTATTTTAAGGTGATTGTGGAAAAAAGTAAATTTGTATGCAGGGTGTCCCAGAAGTCGACGTCAAACCGGAAACGGTGGATAGTCATAATAGTTAGCAGAAAAATATACACAAAATCTAAGTCGTGTGTCTTTCAAATTCTTTGCTTTAAAAAGAATCGAAAAAATCTACACGGTGTGATGAAATTTTAGTTCCCATTACTACAAATTTCAATTTTTTCTTAGACGGACTGTCGGACAGTGACATTCTTCGTAGTGACGGCAAGGCAGATAGTCACGCCACATTTATTAATTCACGATTGCGTGGTGCCACCATGTCTGTGTACTCCATACAGGAATACGCCCGCATGCACCTCATTTATGGGGAATGTACGAGAGATGTAATGCTAGCCCTTAAGTACTGACGCTCCGTTATTTGGACATAGATACTGACGAGTCGTCTATCAGACTACCCTAGTAAAATCATTGCAAGAGATTAAAAAAAATCAGGTTTGTGTTAAATTTTGCATGTATAAAGATATATATTACTAAAATAAGTTGATAATCAATATTAATAATCCTTCATTTTTCTAAAAATCAATTTTTATTACTGTTTAAATTTCGAAAACAAACTTTTAATTTTTTACTAATTAGAAAAAGTATATAAACAGAAAATGATTATACCAATAAAAACCATATTCACAAACTAATATTTCAACTTTTTATAAAGAGAAAAGTACATAAAAAACATATTCCACGAATATTACAACATAGGTATAAACTATGATTTAAGGGTTAAATTTTAAAAGTTGTCAATTCAACGAATACACACTTTTTTTGCGCATTGTAGGCATATTGCATTTTTGCAGGCTGAACATTGGTATTTGGTCATTCTCCTTTTTTTTGCTAGGGCATATGCTGCAAATTTTTCTTTTTTCCAGAATTTCATCATCAGTATTCAATACTTCTGATTCTTCCTTTTGCAAAATGCGACGAATACAACATTTTAGTTCCCGTGTTATACAGGGATTTGACTCTCTCCTTTGAAGTTGAGGTGCAACCATTGTCATTGCTAGCTCTTTCAGAAATATATATTTCTGTGAGATATTCGGGTTATCTCTATAGGACTGGTGAAGTATATACGCATTCATGCATGCAACATCTAATATCCTGAAGAGTATTGCCATGGGCCATCTTTGTGTACGACGACTTGATGTGCACTTGGAACATTTTTCGTCTAAAGTGTCGACACCACCCTTATTTCGGTTATAAAAGGATACTATTTCAGGTTTTCCTATAGTAAGGTCAGTCTCTTTTTGGTGGTGCATAGAGGAAAGCAGAATGGTCGACTTTCCTTTCTTTCCGCAGAAGGATATCATGGTCATTTCTTTTGTAAAACCATACAAAGTAGTCCCTTTTTCTATTGGGTTGAAATTCACATGGGATTTCCCGTTTGTTCTTCTTCAAAGTTCCTACGTATGTCAGACCATTTTGTTTTAGAGTTTCAACCAACTGAATTGAAGAAAACCAATTATCAGCTGTTATGTTACGATTAGTATGAAACAACGGATGTGAAAGCCTAAGTACGGATTGCGTTGGAATGGATAATTTTCTTTCCTCTTCTGATAGTCCTATTCCATCTGAGTTTTTACCGCAATATATATAACTATTATATAAATAGCCATTTCTTGCATCTACTAAGCACAACAATTTCACTTCTGTTCTGACGCTTGAATTTTTGACGGTAACCACTTATTTTTACATTTGTCCACTGAACCACTATATCTAACATGTCAGGTGTGAAAAGTAAGTGCCATATTACTAGAGGATCAGCTTTTGTGCCCAGAGTCAGAGCTTGACTTTTTAGACCAGGAAGTTGTAAAACTATATTATGCTTCAGAACCCTCCCACGGGTAGGTAATGCTTCAACTTTCGACCAACGATAGCGGTTTTTTCCATAATAAAACTTGCTGGAATCCGTATCCGTATCAGCATTTTGCACTGAATGATCATCACTGCCAGAACTATCTGAGGTATCAGATGATCTATGATCCTCTTGCTCTTCTATAAACTCAGATACGCAATCGCTCTCACTATAACTATTGTCACTGTCACATTCTTCGAACCATTTCATTGCCGTTTCTTCAAACTTTGGATCTAAAGATGATATCGTACGCGAACAAGATGGATTCCCGCTCATATTTGTTGTGTACAAAACACGAACCGCTCATATATACACTAACGTTGTTACTGACGCGTAGTCTACTAGACGACGCCCGCCTTTCAATATACAATAATGTCGGATACGTTCGCGCAATTTCGCAATAATTTTCTGAGGCGATAAGGTACGGTCCGGATTGAGACTAGATACAGCGGCAAATTCAAATAATTGAAATTATATAAAATATTTCCCTTTGAAAATTGACTGTAGTCTGAGCGACGACGGGTCAGTACTTAAGGGCTAGAGAGGTATCCAAATGCTGCTTGTCATCCCGATCACACCGAGCTTTTGTGAATGAGCACCGTTTAACCTCAGAGGGGCGATTCCCAAATCAAGCACATGGTGAAGGAAGAATTTACTTTCTCTACGAGGACGTCGTACTACAAGCTGTCGAAGAAGACCAGAGTACTTCCGTTACGTCAAAGAGAAGCAAGCACGGCATGTAAAAAACCTATATAACTTAAAAAACCCTATAAAATGTCATCTTGCACACTAAGTAGATTTTGGTATGCAAACAGTCATTGCACTTTTGCTCACTAGGATCCTTGTGAGCGTCCATCTATGGAGGAATGACTGAACTACACGCATTGTTGGTTGCCTATTTTTTGTGAAGCCGAGTAGTCTGTAGTTTTCATCTCTGAGAAGATGTGCAACAAAGAAAGTTGGTTGAATAGCAAGATCGGATCTGGATGATTATGTGTATTGGTCTGCAGTGTATCAAATCAGTGATATCTGGTCTGTGAGAAAATTATTACTGAATATGCTGCCAATGAAGTATATCTATTAGCTGTGCCCGACGGGTTATTTATATGTTGTCATTTTTGAAGACAACTTATGTTCAAAGCTATAAGTTTGAGGAGCACTATGAGAAATTGCACCCGGCACCCGCGTTGTATGCAATTATGCCACATCACAGAAAAACTAGTAATGACGCATCACAAATCAAACATTTTCGCAATGCCTCACATCTAGGCGCTGATTTATGTTTTCTATAATGTCATTGCAAAATAAATTTCTATAAAATTTAAATAATTGGAAATAAAAAGTAATGTAATAATCTTTTCACTTTCATAAATATTCCTGTCTGTATTATATTTTCTCGTCTGTTCCTTCGGGATTTTCGTTTCTTATCTCTCTCATTTTTGAAAAAACAGCAAATGTGCATATATACTCGTAATTTCCAGAATGTATAAGAAAAAGTGGATGCGCAACTAATTTCTAGCTTTGAGTCTCAAGAAAGTGTATTTTAGACAAGAACTATCATCAACACATATTATTAGCACACAAATCCTCACGCTGCACCGGCATTGCCGTTTCCTTCTAACTATAGAATGCAACTTACAGCTTAGACGTCCAGTAATGCCATTTCTGAAGCAGATTTTATATCACATCAGAGTCAAACATTCATAACTAAAGCATCATGATGTTTAGGCAACACGTACGACAAAACGAGTTCACAACAAGTGTCAGTCAGCTACCAGCTAGTGCTATCTGGTAGAAAAACCGACATATGTCACAAGAAATATAGATAATGTAAAAATATCGACATAATGTCACTTTTTAAGATACGTAATACCCGTGCCGAGGTGCCCAAAACTTCGGCCCACCGAATCTTGCGAAAGAACGAGCTTCACCCTTACCACGTACAATCTCTATAACCCCGGGATTATCTTCCAAGAGTTGAGTTTGATCAATGTTACAGAGACACCGGGAAGATCCGAGCTTTATAGAGAAAATTTTATGGACTGATTAGTTGAGATCTAAAAAAGATGGTTACATGAATCTACACAACTTACACGAGTGGCATGTAGAAAATCCACATTTTATAAGATAGATCACAATACCGTTTTAAAGTAAACATGTGGACCGGGATTCTAAATGGGAGAATCATTGTAACCTTTGAGCTGCCAGAGTTCTTGAAGGCGAAGTTTATTTATTGGACGACGTGCCATTAAGCATTTACAGAGACATGATATTTCCTACAATTTAAAAAGAAAACATAACTTCACAATAGGAGAGCGCTAACGCTGACACGGAACAGCAGACATCTAAAAATCCCCTCAATTCGCCATAAAGGCGTCCTACAGTTGTAGGAACGACAGATGATACGGCCCTTAGATCATGTTGCAACAATAGAAGGTACCGTTCTGCAGTTAATGGGTTGATGGTTTCTCAAAAACGAACCCTCGGACGCAAAATTTAAAAACATCACATCAGACAAGGGTGTCAGCAGAAATTTTATTCGGAGGGGTCGATCAGACGGTGCAGAGAGGAATTTTTTGTATATAGGGTGTCCCAGAAGTCGACGTCAAGCCGAAACCGGGTGATAGGCAAAGTCATAACAGCTATCAGAAAAATATTTAAAAACATTTTATGTATGTGTTTTGAAAATTATAGGTCTTTGAAAAAAATATAGAAATTTCACACCCTACGGCAGTCTGTCAACTCCTGTTACTACAAATATTAACTTTTTTTGGATTTTATTTTTACAATGTAATGATAAATAATGCATCTTCAAACTGGTGTCTCAACCTTACTGCCAACTTTTCTCGTTCAGGAAAAATTGCCACTTATTTCCCAACCAAGTATTCCAAAGTTAAACTTTGCTCAACTTTAACTGGCTGTACTGGAAAAAAATGTACTACGAGAGTTTGGCAAGTAACCTTAAAAGTTGGCGCATTTAATAAAGATTCCAAAATGGTATAACACTTAGAAGATTACTCGTTAACTTATGCACAATTTTTATTTGAAGAAAAACTGATGAAAATTTTTCAAAATTTACTAATTAAACAGCGATTATGAAAACGCACAAGGACCCTTAAGGATAACTGTTTGCACAACAGTGGGCGTCAAAATGCTGCTGATGATGATTTACCTTTACAGCAAATGCTCAAACTGTTTTCCTTCAGCCGCAATACACGCTCGACATCTTAAAAAAGATCGGGTTATTAAACGAGCGAATCCACGGTTATTAACAAACTCAGTTGCTTCCAATAGTCTTTGCCGTAGCTCAGCTACATTTTGAATCGGCTTGAAATACACTTTTTCTTTTACAGTTCCCCAGTAAAAAAATCTAACGGATTCAAATCTGGTGACCGGGCTGGCCACGGTATTGTACCAGACCGCCCTATCCATCTGCCTGGAAAGTTTTGATCGAGATACTCTCTCACTGAGAGTGCATAGTGCGCTGGGCAGCCATCATGCTGAAACCACATGTCCCTGTAAATACTCAGTGGCACGTCCTCCAATAAATTTTCTAAATGATTTTGCAAAAAACCTAAATAAACCTCAGCAGTCAAAGTCTCTGGGAACTCAAACGGACCGATTATTTTACCATTTAAAATTCCTATCCAATGGTTTATCTTGAAGCGATATTGAGATTTATCTTCTTTCATCAAATGTGGGTTTGCTACGTGCCACTCGTGTAAGTTATGCAGGTTCATGTACCCATCTTTCTTAAATGTGGTCTCATCTGACCATAAAATTTTTTCAGAGAACCGTGGAGAACGAAGGAGTACTGATCGGTATCAAAGTGTGCAATAGCAAGTAAGTGATATGCTTCATCCATACCACATACAGCGTGTTCAACCTCTCCTGCCCCGGGATTATGAGCCCCGAGTTGCTTTTTGTCGCACAATGTTAGAAAGACACAGGAAAGATCCACAGTTCTTTGAAAAAATTTTATGGTCGGATGAGACCACATTTAAGAAAGATGGGTACATGAACCTGCATAACTTACACGAGTGGCACGTAGCAAACCCACATTTGATGAGAGAAGATAAATCTCAATATCGCTTCAAGATAAACCATTGGACAGGAATTTTAAATGGTAAAATAATCGGTCCGTTTGAGTTCCCAGAGACTTTGACTGCTGAAGTTTATTTGGATTTTTTGAAAAATCATGTACAAAATTTATTGGTGGACGTGCCACTGAGTATTTACAGGGACATGTGGTTTCAGCATGATGGCTGCCCTGTGCACTATGCACTCTCAGTGAGAGAGTATCTCGATCAAAACTTTCCAGGCAGATGGATAAGGCGGTCTGGTACAATACCGTGGCCAGTCCGATCACCTGATTTGAATCCTTTAGATTTTTTTACTGGGGAACTGTAAAAGAAAAGGTGTATTTCACGCCGATTCAAAATATAGCTGAGCTACGGCAAAGACTATTGGAAGCAGCTGAGTTTGTTAATAACCGTGGATTCGCTCGTTTAATAACCCGATCTTTTTTAAGATGTCGAGCGTGTATTGCGGCTGAAGGAAAACAGTTTGGCATTTGCTGTAAAGGTAAATCATTATCAGCAGCATTTTGACACCCACTGTTGTGCAAACAGTTATCCCTAAGGGTCCTTGTGCGTTTTCATAATCGCTGTTTGAAATTTTGAAAAAATGTCATCAGTTTTTCTTCAAATAAAAATTGTGCATAAGTTAACGAGTAATAAATCTTCTAAGTGTTATACCATTTTGGAATCCTTATTAAATGCGCCAACTTTTAAGGTTACTTGCCAAACTCTCGTGGTACATTTTTTTCCAGTACAGCCAGTTAAAGTTGAGCAAAGTTTTACTTTGGAATACTTGGTTGGGAAATAAGTGGCAATTTTTTCTGAACGAGAAAAGTTGGCAGTTAGGTTGAGACACCAGTTTGAAGATGCATTATTCATCATTACATTGTAAAAATAAAATCCAAAAAAAGTTAATATTTGTAGTAACAGAAGTTGACAGACTGCAGTAGGGTGTGAAATTTCTATATCTTTTTCAAAGACCTATAATTTTCAAAACACATACATAAAATTTTTTTAAATATTTTTCTGATAGCTGTTATGACTTTGCCTATCACCCGGTTTCGGCTTGACGTCGACTTCTGGGACACCCTGTATATCATGTTTTAGAGTGTTACAAATATTTCTCTATTTTAGGTGCGCAAAATCAATCAGGAAGAGCAAAATATCGATGAATTTGTCCAGGAAATCTACGAGCAATGCAAACGTCCTGATTTTAATGACGAATGTTTCATTCACGATATTTTGAACAACAAGACATTTTTAGAACACCTCAGCATCACTTGCAAGTTTTTGATCAGAAGTGCACCGAAAATTGTACAAGACTACGTTGAAAGAAACAAATAATTTGAAAAAAAAAATATTTTATTCATTATCACAAATGTTTTATGCTTTACATGTTGTTTACATTTAAAATATATACCTTTTGTAATTTGTCTTTTTTTAGTTTGTTGTCGAAACATTAGAAAGCTCGACTAGGAAAGAAGCTTAAAATTACGAAAAGGGGTCTGGATACAGGTTAAGTACATACACAGACTGACCTCTGGTAAGTCATTTAAATAAAAAATGTCACAAGAAGTATTCCAGTGAACATGACGCCAAAATTACGTCATTATTCGGTCATTTTTGGTCGGAAACGCCATTGACTAAAAAAAGACGTCTTTATTGACGCCATTCTTATGACGACAAAACGTCATTTGAACGGCTCTCATTTTTAGGGCAGACAATATGGAAAAATCAACACTTAACTACAACGAAAATATAGTCTTTCAATGAATTGTAAGGTAAACTAGATATTCAAATATTAATAACTGCTTTATTGTTATTTATAAAAAGTATCAGGAATTCTTCGAATAAATATATCTTTTCTAATAATGGTATTCCAGATATTTATCTTACATCATGTTTTATTCCCGTAAATAACATATTTATTAGAAACTCGTCTGTATAACGATAAACAAGCTTTACTAAAATCTTTGTAATCAAGCGTGGTAAAAATTCAAATTTTGTAATCGTATATCATTCACCCGATCATGAGCGAAGAAGCATGATTATGCTTGGCAGTGAGCTTGAACGATGCCCAAGCTCAATGCGTGTTCACCGTTTGGCAATGGTTCGGGCATTTTGTTTTATAAATCTATGAGTTTGGACATCATAATGGCTTTTTTTTATATCGAAACAGCCGCGCAGGCAGAAGCCTAAATGCCGGAACACCGCGGCTGCTATGATGATCCCAAAGAAATTTTGTTAATACGATTTTTGAACTGCCTAAGATTGGTAGAACTGGGAAAAGCTTCCGCCCGTAGATTGTTCCACAATCTAGACACCCTCGGGACAAAGGAGCGGTCGTATCGGCCAGTTCTGGATGTACGAAGTTTGACACGGTTAGGATGGGACGCCGAAGTCGTCTTCAATGTACATTGTGGTACAATTGACTAGGGACGATATTATTGCCGCATAGTTAGGAAAGCAGGTACCCAGGAAACAAGAAGTGTTTTGGCCTCCTGTGGAAAATGAATCTTCAAATATCAAAAGCATATTAGTAAAACGAACAAATCACGACAATATGGACTCTTTATTCAAATGACTTACCAGTTCACTTTTGTATTCGAATTTCGGAATAAGAGAACCATTTTTGTTTCACAGCCAAAAAATTGGGACAAATCATTATTAAAGGAACTGTGAAAAAAATAACAAACAGTGTCATATATAGAAACATCAACGTGTTGTATTTCCACCAATGTAGGAAAAATATAAACAATATAATTGTGTACTTTGGCACCTACCTAAGCTATAGTTTAATCTCACTCATATTTTTTTGTAAATGTATGTTAGACATACTGAATTTCGGTACTAAATACCAAGTTCAATTTTAAATGTTGCTAGAGAGAGCGATTAAATATTTTTTTGAAATACAGTGTGCTTTTCTGTTTTGTTCGTTTCCAGAGAAAAAAATACTTATTTTTTGTGCTAGAACACTACTGCGTATTTTGAAATTAATCTTGACCATGATGCCCGATTTTTCAATCGCAGCTTAACTCTATTTTACTGCTAACTGGAAGTTAACTCTCAGAACACGGTCTTAAATATCAAGTCTATCCGAAAATGGTACGAGTAGTTCACTTTATCCGGAGGACGATCTATCGGTTGAATTATAAGGTGTAGTTAAACCGTAGTGTCTAACCTTTTCGGCTTGACAGTAATGAGTTCTCACAGATGACATGAAACACGTACACCGATCTTCACGAAATCAGAGTTGCCAGATAGATCAAAAAGAACTCCCCCAGAACAGAAGACAACTTTGGTCCTGTTTTTTCTGCGTACCTTGTTTTTCGTACGTTCAATAGACCCCTGCTCACCTCCTGTGCAGTTTTTTGTAGTTAAAGATTGAGTAAAATACCTCAAAAATATCCAACGATATTATTTTTGCCCCAGAACATTTTATTCCCCATCGAAGGTAAATATATCCCAAATTTGGGGGAAATCCTCCAATATGGCAATCCTGCACGGAATTTACAGAACGTGACAGTTCAGACGCAAATGCAGCGTTGCTACATCAACAATTAATGGTTAGTTAACCAGAACTTGAAAAACGAATTCACGGGTAACCTATAGTTAACCTCCAGGTTATAGTTACCAAAATAGAGAGTTACCCTGTGATTGAAAAACGGCGCCTTAGTGTAAGAACACAGTGCACGCGAGATTCTCGCTTACCGGTAACCTGCGCCATCTCGCGTTTATCGCTTTAAGAATTATCACGTGTATTCATATGAACGTACACACAGTGAAAACAGGTTGCAGCAGGTCCGCGCGGATAACCTGCTCGCAGGCGCTCACGGTATTCAAAATTTAGTTTATTTCGGCTTTTGTCGCGCGAGTGAGTAGTATATTGTGATGGATAAAGAATTGCTTATTGCTGCGGTGTTTGAAAGAACAGCTATTTGGAACAAGAGGGATAAGCTACATAGCAATCGCAATGTGGTTGACAGATACTGGAAGGAAATAAGCATTGAAATAAAACAGGATGGTAAGTACCTAGGTGTATTTGTAGCCAAGTCTAAACGAAAATCCAATTTGTTTGAATGATGATCCAGTTGCTAGATATCTGTAATTAAATCAGGATAAAAGTCAAAAAAATACTCATGACTTCATTACAATTTAATTAACACGGGCTTAATTTTGTAAACTGTGATTGTGACTGTCATGAAGAAAGTTGTAGATACCTAGAAGTATTCTATTTTTATTTTTTAGAGGCCAAGATCAGAAAGCAATGGAAGTATTTGCGGGACCAGTTCTCCGTTGAATTAGGAAAACTCCCCCCGCCAAGGTCTGGAGACGCTGCCGAAGATCTTCCTACATCCAAATGGCCGTATTTCACACAACTTCTTTTCCTGAAGGACGTGATCAAACCGAGGGCAGCCAGCGGCAATTTATCGATGATGCAGTCAGCTCAGTCCACACAGGAGACAGAAGAAATTCAATCTTCGAACGAGAATAGCGATAATGAAGAGTCTTCTCGAGAAAGTGAAGGTTGCGTGGTACCGCCTACTCCTATTTCAAGGAAAACGAATCCTACCTCAGCATCCATTACGGCACAGAGAAAAAGGAGAACTGCTACCGATGCATATCAAGAATCAATGCTGGAAATAGAAAAACGCAAAGTGGAATATCTCGAAAATAAGGCCAAAAGAGGTTGCAGTGATCAAGATGACGAGCATATGTCATTTTTCAAAAGTTTGCTTCCACATGTAAGGCAAATACCTGCAAACAGAATATTATGTTTCCGTTCCCGCGTGCAAGAATTAGTGGATCAATTTTCCTACCAACATAACACCTTTTCTCATCTGTCATCTTCTGCATCATCCCATTGTAGTGCGCCTTCTCCTCATAACATAGATCAGAATAGCTGCGCGCCTTCTCCCAACTATCATAACATACAAGAAACTACGCATTCGTCCATTCCCTTAAACCAACCATCAGTCATGTTTCAAAGTCTTCCCGCTACTGTTTCTAGGCTCCTTGATAATAACCAACAGCAAAATACAACTTATGTATCTTTATCATTACCAGAAAATGGTATCCATCCATGACTCAATATTATTGTACAACTGATAAAATCAATAAAACAATATTTGTAAGTATCTAACTGTTATTTCATTTTACGCTGCAATTGATTCACGTTTAGAGAAAAGATTCGATCACGAGGCAGGAAATCGACCAAAAAACAAACGTATAAACAAACCCTCAGACTAAAACGATGTTTAAACTCACAAAACTCACAGTTCAAGTTAAGCCTGTGCAACAGAAATCTACAAATTGAACTAATTTTACGTCTAATCTCAAGTTAAGTAGAACTAGTGCTGGCGCAACAGGCCATTACTGAATGAGTATGATACTTTGAAAATGATTCTGATTATTTTTTCACGAGAAAACTTACCTTAAAGTTATAACAAGCCTTTCTTCTGGTAATATAGGTTGCTTATGCAGATTACACCAATTTTTGGTTAGACGATTCCCAACTTTCTCCAAAATATAATTGAATGTGTCCTGGCTCATTCTCATATACTGGAAGAATCTTTTATCATCTTTCTTCAAGCTTGGAAATAAATGATGGTATTCTCCATAAGTTATTCTTTCACGATTAATAGAATGTATTCCAACCCTTTTCCTTCTTACTTTGGTAGAAATCGACTCTAAAGCAATCAGATCATCATCAGAAGACGACATGTTGCTGCGAATAGATAAAGAACGCGACTAGCGAGTTTTTAAAATGATTTTCCTCGCTTTTACCGGCATCCACTCTGTGCTATCTCGGCGCGAGAAACAGGCGCCAATCTGCTTCGACTACCGGTAAGCGAGAATCTCGCGTGCACTGTGTGTTTACACTTATACCCGTTTTATAGTCAGGAAGAGCAAGAGAAATGTTGGTCAGACGCATGCGCTCTAACAACAGCTGATTCGTTCTATTTTTCTTTCTTGCAACTGCCAGGGCCTTTATGATCAATTAATTGGATTTTTATTGCAAGTTTGACTGCAGTTCTGGCCGAATAGTTACTAACTTTCAAGTCACGAATGCATATCTAGTGCGAGTTTAGGGCAAACAATCAAAATTATAGGTTAGGAGTGTGACATTCATTTAGCTTGGCTAACCTTGCTCGTTTGAAGCAACACAACACGGCCGTCTTGCAACTGCAAGAACTTGCATCCAATGATCTTGCGAACTGTACAACGGTTTAAAGAGGGCTTTTCAGAGTGCATAGTTTCCTTTTTTCATTTTGTAGCATCTTTAATAGTGAATTTTGCTCAGTTGTTAAGTATTTACGAGTGATTATTTCAATCCAAATTCGAGGAACATTAATTGTTGAAAGGTATGATAGAATTTTCTTTTTTTTCTATTTAACCTGAATGCTACCATAACAGCAGTGTCATTTCTCTACTACGTAGTAGATACTTTTCATGACTAGAAAAAGGTAAGAGCTAGATCCTATAATAAAAAATAGTATGAAATCTACGTATATGTATAGGTAGAAACATGGTTTCCATAGGATACATTTAGTTGTTAGTCCATATACAAAATTTCACTTATTACATAGCCAACCAGCAACCATAGTTTTTAACTTTTTTGCGTAACTTGATAGTCACGAGTGGTTTGGCGTTAAGGTTAGCAATTGTTTTGTCATTTTCGATGCCGATCATTTTTGTAATCATCTATTTCTCGATCAGTGGATTACTCTGTATACTAAAATATTCTCTAACTTGTAATTGATACAACAGTTCGTCATCTACAAATTGAGAGGCAAGCTATAGTAAACACAATGTAGCTCTGAAGAAATTAAAATGACTATACACATTGATAAACATATTCTACCTGAATATATCGAACCATATACTCCAAAAAGGGTTCTGAAAGATCGTAGTGAGATGAGACCATAATGGAACACAAAAACAAATTCTGAAAAGAGTTGAAGTGTGTGGCCCTACTACTGTTTCATAGATGGCGGTGGATCTTCAATACTTCGTGGCACCTCCCTAATGCCTTATTTTAATTGAGCATCTTCAGGTTAAATATGACAATCAATGCCTGAAAATATCCGATTAAAATAATGCAAAGCCCTCGTAACTAGAACACCTTTCTAGCCTAACGTCGATGCAACTATGCGACCGTGCATCGAGAGTGATCAAGCTCTCGTCCGAGAGCGTTCATTTTTGTCTTCTGCTACTATCTCAGAGATAGCGCTAGGCCCTTTTTAATGCCGGAATACAGTATATATTGCCTTCACACCGTTTGTGGCCATCCACGAAATAAATCTAAAATATTAAGTCATTTTCAACCTGGCCAATAAGTTAATTTATTGCAATCTTGATTACGCCTGCGTATTTTATTGAGTTTGTCGGTTACGGGGTTTTTTCAACAGTAAGTTTTACTCAAAATAAATGTTATTTGACTGATAAAGGAATTTTCCATATTATTTTCACAGTTTGAAGTAGATATTTAACCCATAAATATAATTAAAATAATAGTGGCTACAACATGAGATTAAAAGGTGCGTTCTGTGCCAGTTGTGGTCTTGGTCTTAGAAACCAGGTGTGGCACAAAGGAGAAAGAGATGACAAAATTTAATACAAACAAGGTAGAAAAGGAGTACCTAATAGCAGAAATTTTATTGTTTCAGAAAAGTTATCGCTCCCCGCAAATTATTTCAATATTCGGAAAGTGCCATGCAAAATGCACTTAATGCCATCCGACATCAGTCTACGCCCGTTTCGACGGCATGTAAAGATGCGATTCCACCAGTGTGCTGAACTGTGCGGCACTCTAATGCTCAGTGTACAGCACAAATGTTTCTTCTGGTCGACTCTCTCACGCAAACAATAGCAAATTGTGCGCGAACATTTCGGAAACGTTCGCGTACACATCAGTTACTTTTGTGCGCGCACATACAAGCAGTGGACTCGCGTCGGCGCGTACATACTTGTTGTTCGCGAACAAAGTGTTGCTTCCACTCCTGGAGTGAAAACATTTGTTTGTACGCGCACTTTTTTTACGAAATTAAAAATGGACTGGACGAATGATCAAATGATAAGATTTATTCAAGCAGTTGAAATTTTTGAAAACACCACCATCCGATATTCTTCCTCTACAACCGACATCTACGTACGTGAATTTATAATTTGCATCAACCAATGCCAAAAATACAATGCTGAAATCGCCTTTGTAATTAAAAAAGTCACTTCCAGTATTATTTGGAGCTTGTATAACAATATGTTTGCCATCCATAGCACCAATGCAGTGAGGGAAATTCCAATGTTTTTCAAATTGACGTTCTATCAGCATCCATTCTTCTGCAGTTTTAGGCATCTGAAAAAGAAAATATTATTTCAGCTAATACAAGAACATACTACAGTAAATGAAAGTCAAGAGTCATCTCATGAAAGGCCAGTAGGAAAGTTTATGGCTCCAAAGAACTCGTTGAAACGTCGTGCTGTCGAAGACCCGAGAATTTCCCATGCTTTGTCCATTATCGACAACGTAAATAAGCAGATGGAAGCAAGAAAACGTGACGATGATGACATTTTTGCCGCAGGCGTCGCAACGAAATTAAGAAAAATTAAAAATGAGCGAAAGAAGATTTTAGTGCAAAGGGACATTGATAATTTGTTGTATGACGCGATTATTGGTACTGGAAAATATGCTACAACTCGAATTCCTTCACCTTATTCAGATTCGTCAAACTCACAAGGTCAGGTACCGCTTTCAAGTTTTCAAGCCTGCAATGGTGATTTTGACGACGACCTTTTACGCCAGCATAACAGCGAAATATTAACTTGGCAAGATATGTAGCAATAAATGTTAATAAATATGGTTTAGCTTTCTTACCTTAATGTTTTCTTTCAGCACGCTTATCAACCCCTTACAAGTCTCAGGTACAATCCGAGCAATAAGTTCTTTTGAAACTTTAAATAAATACATTAAACTTGCAAAAGAATCTCCAGTAGCAAGATATCTCAGGGTAATTGCTAGCCTTATTGAAACAGGGACACATTTTCTGTAGTTGGTGTCTTGCTTTGCAATATGAGGACTAAGTGCATTGACCAGTAACTCAAAATCTTCACACGATATACGAGTAAAATTTTTAAATCCACTCAAGGGATCTACTTTTATTTCTTCTACAAATCTATTCATTTCTTCATTCCGTCGCTGTAGAAAAGGCCTCACCCAACATCGTGGTTTTCTTCTTCGTTTCTTTTTAAGCAGACTACATATTAAAACACAAGCTGCAGCACAAATCACTACGTTTTCCTGCCCGTCCATATTGAGAACTGAGGTTAGCAAGAACTTTGCTTGGTAAACATGTTCGTGCACAAGTGTGCTACACTGTACGCTTACAAAAGTTACGCACTGCTTTGCCGGTGGACACAGAAGATAAATTCGATACCAGTGAGCACGTTCAATGAGTTTCACACAAAATGTTTGTAAACAAATGTGCTGAACACTGTTTTGGTGGAATCGTACCATAAGAAATTCAATGTCTCTAGAACATCTGTTCGATATAGATAAACAAAGGATGATTGCCGAAAAGTGATCTCTTGGCCTGGAAATAGAACATAAAATTGGTTTCTCTATTCAAAAAATACAAGAAGAATGCGATATTCAGCCAGTCTCTTGTACTGGGTCCTAAGGGAAAAAATGTGTATCCATGTCGGTGTATCCGATAAAGACAATGTAACTACATTACTTGCTGAAAATGCTGAAGGGTCCATTGCACCGCCGTTAAAAATTTACAAATTTAAACGTTTACCCAAAAATTACGCCATTGCCGTTAAAAATTTATACGTTTACCCAAAAATTACGCCATTGCTGCACCTAGGAATTGGGAAATTGGAACTTCGGATTCGGATGGATGCAAAGCAAGCAGTTTTATGAATACTTTGCAAATGTCTTCATTAGGTTTTTGGATTCTAAAAGTATCTCCACGCCATCTTTAATCCTAATCTGTCTTCCACCAAACATGACACATTTGCTGCAACCCCGTGATGTTTCTTTCTTTTTTCCGTTAAAACACGCATGGAAGACAATTGCAAGAAGGTGGTTGTGCGAAATTTTCAGAAAAAGGGCATTCTCGTTGGATTAAATTAAATTTTGATCAACAAAGATTTTACAGGTGATATTAAATCTGGATTTCATGTTTGTGGTCTTTATCCATTTGACGAAAACGCTCCACATTACGACAGATGTGTGCGCAAAAACCTGCCAAATTCTAATGAAGAATGGGAAAACACTCAGGAAACTTTAAATGAAAATGACAAAATGTCTCATTTTAAATTTTTAGTGTACTACAAAATTTAAATCGACGAATTCATCTCACTATTTTTGGTAACGAGAGGATCGATATTTAGAACCTGAATTAACGCCCCAAGAAATGGAAGCAGATAAAACTCAAGAAGAAACAGTCATTGATTTAGAAACTCAGAATTGTCGATGGGATCTAGCTGTTCAAACGAATACTAAAATATTGAAGACGACTGTTTTATGTTTGGCTTTCCGGAATTTAACAACGCTAACGAGGTAATAATTGAAGATACTGAAGACAAAGACGTAAATATTAAAGAAATCAAATTTAAATCAAACTTAACAACGACATTGAAAATACAATAACTGAAGATAGTGAAAAGAAACTTAATGTTAACAAAGACGTAAAGGAAGGAATCAATGTATTACAGAATATTGTAAGCAAAGCAGCATCAGAAAACAGTGAAAAAAGTGAAAACGACAAAGACGTAAGGCTCCTTAAAAAAGGGGAGTTGGTGGTGTTCTTCAAGATGTGAAAACATGGCCCCATGATTCTTCAGGAAAATCAAAAAGAAAAAAGATCTCACTTCCATCGGTGGTCACTTCAGTTAAATGGATAGAAATTTTTTAACAAAATTAATCGAAGTAACAAGGAAAACAATGGAGAGTTTTCAGACAATTCTACACCAAGTGACAAAAAGTCTAAAAACGGAACCAGGAATAGTGCGGATGAAAGCGATGAACAGCAACAGACCAAAGATTATGTGATAGAAGAGGCTAAGACTGGTAGAGAAGAAACTATAAATATAGGAAACTATGTAATAGTCAAATACGAAAGCGGACTATATCCAGAAAAAGAATTTTTTTGTTGTGCAATGATAAATGGTGGATTAAACCATTGGAAATGGCCTGATTCGACGGATCTTTTGTGGTACAAAGAACAAGATGTAGTTTTAAAAATGAACGAACATAAACCACTAATTACCAGAGGGCTATATGTAGTTCATTAAATGGAAGCCTTATTCAATTTTTTTGTGTAACGGTTCATTTGTTTTAACCAGACTTAGTTTTGTTTTTTGTTTATGTTTATTAATGAGTCGATACATTTTTTTACATACCGTAAAGTGAGGTTACTTCGCACTTAGATGGGTAACTTTGCACCAAAGGTGTAAAAGTGTGTGTACATGGGATAAAGTAGTTGGTGCCTATAGCTCCCCCATTTCTAATCGAGGATTTTATGTTGTTCCAGGGCGCGGCAAGTTTTGGTGGGAATATTTTGTAGCAGAAATACTAATAAAAATAGAATAACAATTCCTTTCAAGTTCCACTCTCCAGAAATGTTTTTTACTTTTTTAATTGCGAGAAAACTGTCAACTCAACCCATGTATAATAACAATAAATGTATCAAAATAATTTACGTTCATAATGCAACGTTTAATATTTCGGAGTATTTCTTTGTACCAGTGGCTGTTTAGTAGCTGAAAATAATTAAAATTTCGAGTAGTGCAAAGTATAACCATCATTGGGTATACTTTGCACCATCTTTTTATTACATTTTTTACTTTACATCAAAAAATTTGGTTAGAAATACAAGTATTTGTGGCCCGTATAATGAATTTTGATACTAAGAAAAAGTTTATCTTCTCTTCGATGGATATTCGTATCGATATAAAAATTACATAGAAAATGTGGTGCAAGGTAGCCTCATTTTACGGTACTAAAAACTACTCGTTAATTCTTGTTCCTACTTAGTAATAGGTAGTTGTAGTTCTTGACTAAAACAAATGTTTTTATTTTAACTACCTTTTTGTTTATGTAAATTATTATTTTTTAAATAAAGCACCTAGGCACTTGTTCATTTTGGTTTTTATCTCTATAGCATGGCAAACAGATCTATGATTCCGACGAAATGGAGAAGTGATATCATTGTCATGCTTACTTAACGGATAACAATAGAAAATACATTGTTATATGCAGTAACCTAGGTTAACTGTATTGTTTTAGGTGTCACAGAACCGTTTGAAAGACTGAACGTGTGTAGCTATTTCAATGTGATGGCCACAACTGGTGGGTCTCTGCTATAAGTGGCCACAACTAGCAAAACTGTTCTTTTCAGCTATTTTAATGGATCTACGTAAGTCTGACCCATTTAATTCAAATTAGATAAATTTTCTCTTGACAAATATACCTATTATTATTATATCAGTCATTTGAGAGCGGCGGACTAACTTACTAAATAAATTACAGCTGAATAAAGTTGAAAGTTGGCCACAACCAGTGCATCTACCGTAGTCTATCTTCAGGAAGAATACGTTAATCAATGCTATAATCAAAGCTTAGTTCCGAAATAACATTCTTCTCCAGCGGATTCTTTAATTCATTGCCAATTTACTTCTTACTTGATTTAAGCAGTAGATAACAAACCTACTAAATCGCTCTTTGAAACCAAAAGCAAGTTCGACCAATAATTAAAAAATTCGCCAGATTACCAACAACAAAAATATATAAAGAAAATAAACATCTATGTATACTAACCTGTACATACTAGTTATATACACATTCTACATCTATTAAACAATACCTTCTCTGGGCGGTAACAAAAACGAAAATATAGGCAGTTTTGGCAAATAACATTGTTGTCTAGAGTATCAGCTACTTTGTTATTTAGTTCTAACAAGAGCTAGACTGAATAGGTATTTATTTCTTTATATTCTCGCAACGGCAGCGAAGTCCAATTTTGCCTCTGTCAAACTGCCAAAAGTTGATGAAAAAAAAGACAGAGTTTGTAGAACGGTAAGCTGTTTATAACCTTACACATAACCGCTATCCTCCTAATCAGCGTCATCTATTTCTAGCTTTCTAGATTAGCCTACATTATTGCAAGTAGAACCAAGTGGAAGAAAGCGGCTTGAAATTAGCTCGCGAGAAGACGCAAGTGTTTATACGTTCTGGCAGACAGAAGTTAGCTCCACTAGCTGTTAACGTCAAGAACGCCGAGATTCGAAGCTCTGGGTGCGTGACTTGACAGAAATGTAAAAAAATGTACCACTCATAAGTCAAATAAAGTCCTTGCATCCCTGGTACGACTAATGCCATGTGATGGAGGCTCCGTAGAGAGAGGCGCAGGATTTTCGCAGGGGTAGCTAGCTCGATTATGCCCCTATCTACGAGTATAATAAGGCGTTGAGAAAAAACAAAATATAGTCAGGTAGTGCTCAGCAACCAGAGTGGTATGCGCTTACAGAACGGTCTCGACCGATGTACTGCTGGTGGTGGCTGGTATTCCGCCAAATGATCAGCTGACTGAGGAGCGATGCGCGCTCTATAGGAAGTGCACCGAAGCTAGATGCTATTTGTCAGACGGCAGGAGAGATCGGATGCATCCCAAATATACTGCACAGTTCTTAAAAGGACATGGTTGTTTTGACAGCTACCTAAAGAGGGCAGGAAAGAGTACGCGAAATGCGTATATTGCAACGGAGAGGAGGATATTCCTAATCATCTACTCGAAAGTAGCAGATGGACTGACTACCAAGACAGCTGGAATTAACGCTCGACGAAAGGCTCACTGCTGACAATTTTGCCATGCATGTAAGTAATGGCAGATGGGTTGATATTCAGCCGGTAGTGAAGTGGTACCGGAAGGTGAAAGAGGATAAAAATTAGAACCAACAGTAGGTTCCTACTGCTCGGTTAAACATATGTAGGTATGTATGTATATACACGATGGAGAGTAGATGACTAATACCCTTGGTAGGAAAACATAGCGTAAAGCTACCAATTATGAAAAAATGCTGCAAGCATTGCCGTGGCAGGATGTGTGGCAAGCCTCTGAGGGGTTTTAGTGAATATGCCGCTTCTGGAGAATCTCACACTTGGAGCAGGAGAGGCCGGTAAGGCACTACTATCGAGCTTTTTGCTTGAAAGTGGCCATGAAAGCTTTCCCCTGTCAAAAAAGCGGACTCTCCACGATAGGTTAGAGCGTGACTACCTCTACAACACTTGTCTTCTATTCCTTGCTTTTCTAAAATCATATTATTGCAGGAAATATCTTCACATCAGCTCAGAAAAATGTTCTGATGATAGCGTCAAAGATAGTCTAAACAATTTTTTCAACCGTTTCCAAAAACTTCATTATCATGGTTTTGTTTTCAGGTATGTATATAAGTCATTCTGAACAAAGAAGGTTCTCACGAACGTTTCTCTGAACTTGATAGTTTCAAGGTATGCTAGTAGCGAAATTTGGAATTTGATACAAAAATGTATTTTGACGCAAAAAGTACTTTTTGAATAAAATTATGCAAAAAATGGATGAGAAGTTTTCCATAGCGGGCGCAAAGTTTATTCCTGGACTATAATAAATAACAAAATAGCTGAACATCTTACCCTAAAGAACAATTTGCCTTTTACCTTGCTTTATGGCATCTACATAATGAGCATTATACAAAATGTCTTTTATACGTATAAAAATATTTCTGTTATCCTATCAAACTTCCTAAAGCTTTTTTTGTGTCTATCAGCATATTGACAGTATAATATTCTAGTCATCAAGACGGCTTATCAACTAGGCGGTTTAATACTGACTAAAATCCATGTGTACAACAGGTTGCGTTTTTTCTGCAAAAGTTTGTATTTTAGGTTGTTCAAACCGTCCTTGTCGAATCGTTTTTGGCCCTGCTTCAACATGTCGTATCTGAAACAGAGGAAAAATGGTGTCATACGAGAGATGACATAGCCTGTGCCATAGATGTTGCGTTTGTTTATATTTTCTGCAAGATATACGAAAAGGTAAAACCGGAAAGGCCGCCAGTTAAGCAGAGAGTTGGGCTTGAATATTTTTTATACTGATACAGCTGTGATGACCTTGAATATACCTTCCTCACGCAGATTGTTTCACAATCCTCTGAGCAGCATTGAGCAACAGTGGTGTTGTGGGAGCAGCAGCATACCAACATGAGAACAGTAATCGAGATGGGGTTTTATCTGGGCCTTGGACAGAGTGAGGAGGTCATGTGGAGAAAAATATACTCAGTGACATTAGAAGTGCTCCATCCAGAAAAAACAATTTCAACTTGAATTTTTGGCAATGAGGTAGTTTTATATCAAGAATGAAACGATAACATTCTCACGAAATTTTATTGACAATTAATAATGTATTGAGCGACCTCGTAGCTGAATACGCTCCTGTATACGTTTAGGGATCGACAAAATGAGTTGATCGATGTCTGGTTGTGGCACCTCATTTCAAGCAACTCAAACTTCGTGGATTAGCTGTGGCAGAGTCTGTGGCGGATGGTGCAAAGTGGACAGTTTCCTCGTCAACATGTCCCACACATGTTCGATGGGATTTAAATCCGGTGAACGGGGTGGCCACAGCAAAACATTAACGCCTGATTTTTGAAGAAAGTCTGTAGTACGACGAGCAATATGGGGACGTGCATGGTCTTGCTGAAAAAGGACGTGTGGAACGGCCCTATAGATACGGCAGTAAAGTAGTTTTTAGGACATCATCAACACGTGCAGCAGTGATATTGTCTTGAAGGGAGTGATCGGCTATCCCCCAAAGCCATTACTCCAACAGTCCTGTGTAGATGCCTCTCAATAGCAAATCCAATAACCCACCGTTCTTCAGAGCCGCGTTTTACCCATGTTGCCGTTCTTTGTTCCAGTTTAAACGTTGACGACAGTGGTCCGCAGTCAGAAGAAGCACTAACCGTGGAGGGTATGGAAAAAGTCCAAACGCTCGAATGCGGCGATAGAGTGTACGCATAGTAACAGTTCTACCGTCTTCTCCAAACCATTCGTCACCGATCTAACCCGTAGTAGCAAAACGGTCTTGCAGGGCAGTTGTCTGAAGCGCCTATCTTGACGCTCTGTGGTACGCCTCGGTAGATCAGTTGCATTTTGTTATGCTTAACACCAGTAAATGAAAGGGCAATAACTAGAAATATATATACTAGTCAGCTCTCAGAAACTGATTTCATTACAAAAACTAAGAGATGACATTTTAAAAAGGGTAAACAAAAACAGAGATAAAACGTTGACGTGCTTTAAATATAATCATTATGTTGCAAAAATAAAGAAATTATTTTTTTTTTGGTGTAACACTTTTAATGTCACTGAGTATACCTTTTATACCTAAACAACCAAACTTTACAATGCACAAACTAGATCGTATTAAAATTTCAAGTCTCAGATTCTAGAAATCTGTTCATGAACCTAGCGACCACAGAAAGGCTATTTTTCGTCACTATCGATCACAGTGGATATTAAAAACTCCAACTTCACTATTCTGCATAAAACTGAAGATATTCGCCTTGTGGGGCCGACTCATTTATAGACCAGACAAAGTATATTGGTTTTTTTACTATGCCTGTCTAGGAACTTCTATATATATGGGGTTGTCCAAAACGGACGCAGGAAAGTAAACGCATATTAAAACAAGAAAGATTGATATTCAAATCAAGTTGGGTACTTTATTTTGAAGGTTCGTTTATACTATTTATGTATGAAAAATAATATCGCTCAAATGTTCACCACGACTGGATTTATAGACGTCCACGCGATGGTCGAAATTTTCAATGACATTTTGCAACATGGTCGGTTCTATGGCATTTATCTCGGCAATGATGTTGTTTTTGAGTTCTTGGAGGGTGGCTGGTTTGTTGACGTAGACTTTGCTTTTCAAATATCCCCATAAAAAGAAGTCCAAGGGAGTCAAATCGCACGATCTTGGTGGCCATGGCACATTTCCTCTGCGCGAAATCACGCGATCACCGAAGAAGGACTGCAATCCATGGATATTGACGTTGGTTGTGTGGCATGTTGCACCGTCTTGTTGGAAATAAACATCGTCCATATCCATTCCTTCAAGTTGCAGCAAAAAATAGTCCGCTATCATCACGTGATATCGCTCAGAATTGACGGTAATGGCGTCGCCGGCCGCATTTTCGAAAAAGTAAGGTCCGATGATGCCTTTTGACCACAATGCACACCACACAGTCACTTTTTGAGGATGCATCGGCTGCTCTTGATACTCACGGGGATTTTCGTTCGCCCAGATGCGGCAGTTTTGCTTGTTTACCGTCCAATTCAAAGTGAAATGCGCTTCGTCGCTGAACATGATTTTTGATGAAAAATTGGCATCAATTTGGCGGTGTTCAAGGAGCCAATCTGAGAACGTTCGGCGCGAAAAATGGTCGGCCCGACGCAGCTCTTGCGTCAATTGGATCTTGTAGGCGTGTACATTCAAATCCTTGTGGAGAATGCGGAGCAAACTGGTTCTCGAAATGCCCAATTCTTGGGATCGACGCGTTGTTGATTGTTTCGGATCATCTCTCACACTCGCCTTCACAACAGCAATATTTTCCGGTGTGCGAACGCTCCTTGGCCGGCCAGAGCCTGGCAGATTTGCCACAGAACCTGTTGCCTAGAATTTACGCACCAGACGACCGATGGTTGTTTCGTTTGGGCGGTTGTTGCGACCGAAATGTTCACGAAGGGCGCGAAACGTGTTTTTTATTTTTGCACCATTTTTGTAGTGCTCTTGAATAACTTTAATGCGGTCTTCAATCGAATACGACTCCATAGCGATCATGGTAAACATTCAACTAACAAAATGACATGTCGGTGACAGAAAACAAAGATGGCGTCTATGTCAAATTGACGTTTACTTTCCTGCGTCCCTATTGGACAACCCTTTATTATATTTATTTAGCATTAATGCTACAAGGTCAATTTATAATTATTCTTTTTTAATTAATATTCTGTAATTTTACATTCTTGTCTATTAAAATTACATTTGGGTATTCATAAAGTGATTTTCTAATTTCACATTAAACATTTTTAAATTAAGACACTGTTTATTAAACTCAAATGCAGATTTGCTAGTTATGATATTACAATTTTGCAGATGAAAATCTAGTTTCGTAGTTATGATAAGGACTATTTAATTTTGTGAAGTTTTCTAAATGTGGTGGAAATAAATGATTTTTTAATTTTTATCTTAGCATATTTGTTTTTTAAATGATTCTTAGCTTTATTTTGTAGATTTGTAATTTTGAAAATATGTTTTCATTGACTGTGTCCAAAGCAATTATTTGGAGTTATTAGCGCGTTGTCGAGCTTTATATACGAAGCTGAGTCATTTATTTTAACAGTGAGTAGATCTGATCAAAAGAAATGTTTTTTTCCTTTAACATTTTTCTGGTAAAATTAAAGTAACAAAGTTTTAGCCCTTTAGAAGTTTGAGTACCGCCCTGTCTCAATAATAATATTATGTGCTCGTGTTTGGCAACAACGGATATAATCCGCCTTATCGGTTCATCGCATCGGAAACAAAAAAGCGAAAGAATTTGAAACGTTTATCACGATGTTTTTCGTCAGTCGGTAACGCGTGAGTGAATAGTGGTGTTTGTTGCGTGACTCAAACGAAATGGAAAATGGCACATGTTTACGAAAATGCTGAACTTGTGGACATGATTCTTATTTACAAAATGCTGCCGCGGCATCACAGATTTGTGCAAATCGGTTTCCCAATCGAGTGCAACCAACCCCTCGTGCCTTTGTTAATGTAGTACAAAGGCCGCACGATCAAATACAGGGCCGCACTGAAATACTTGTCGGGAGGATACTTTATAAAACAAGGTAACATTTTTTTTTAATTTTTTTTTATTTTTTCACACATATTTTGGTTTATCTTCCTTCTACAATCATTATCTGAAAATTAATGACTCAACTTCAAAGTCACCCTGTATAATTCAGGGTGGGGCAGAAGTGATGACCCGGTTTAGTGGACGTATCAAAGAAAAAATGAATAACTTATAGGCTTATAACTTTTTTTATTATAATTTGTATGTAATCCCATTTTTTTATTTAGTTTTGAACACAACTTCAGCAAGATGACGGCCTTCAGCAGCAATACACTGATGTAGTCTATTTCTGAAGTTTTTTAACTACACTTCTACACATTTCTGGGGGAATGGTGGATATTTCCTCTTTAGTTTATCTAAAGTGTGGAGGTAATGTTGAAAAACTTTCTCTTTCAAATAACCCCAAAGAAAAAAGTTGGACATGCTTAAATCTGGCGAGCGTGCTGGCCATCCCAAGTCACCTTTCAAAGACACGACTCGACCAGGAGACATTTGTCTCCATTTCGATATAGAAGTCCGAGCTGTGTGTGCTGTAGCCCCATCTTGTTGGAACCACAGATCTCCTAAGTTGGTTTTGTCACTCAATTGTTGCAATTGTGGCTAAAAAAAGTTTTGCAGCATTAAAAAATAACGATCAGCTGTGACAGTTACTGTTCGACCATTCTCCTTAAAAAAAAAGCTTCAATGATCCCAAATTGGGACATCGCACACCACACAGTCACTTTAGGTGAGTGAAGAGGTCTCTCATGAAGTTGCCCTGTGTTACTGTCAGCCCAATACCGAAAATTCTGCTGAACCAGGTTGATGTAATCATCAGGCATCAGTTCTTGAACAGCCATGCTTTTAAATGGATGGAATGACAGTTCTTCATGCAGAATTATCCTTAAAGAGCGAGCAGACATATCCAAAGCAATCCCATCCCTCCTTGCAGAGCGCCTTGGTGACAATTCAACTGCTGCCCTACAGCCATAATATTTTCGGTTGTTGTGACAGATCTGGGTCTTCCAGTTGCATTAGGTCTTGTAGTGGATCCAGTTTCTTCCATTGTACGGGCACAACGTCTAATTGTCTTACCGGTACGGACCGTAACATTACGCGGAATGTTGAAATGTACGCAATTAGTACTGCGTGGCGATGACGAACACGCACAGCGAAGAAGCGGTGCTCACCTGTCTAAATCATGACCTCCACTGAAAACGGTACGATGCAACACCCACAACCCAACTAGCAATTATCACTCCTATTAGAGTTGCGAGAATGATTATACAGTATTCCTTACACAGCATTGTATACTGTAAGAACATTGGCAAAACCCTCTTAGAACAGCTATACAAGCAGAATGGGCACACCTAATAGGACACTTCAGTCATTTAAGAGGTTGTATAAGGGCTGCAGGTAACAGTTATACAACAAAAGTGTAAGCCTCTTGCAGCCGCTATAGGACATTTGCATCAGTGCAAGATTCAGTTTTTGTCAACTATAAACTATTCTGTTACGTGATTCTACTTTATTGCAACCAAACTATTTCTTATGTATTGTATAGACGAAGTGAAGAATATATAACTAACACAATACAGTCATCTTGTTTACTTACATATCGGCCATTGTGAATTTCATACACAGGTATATGATAAACTTCTACACTGTGATTAGGGCTATTGAATTACTTGCGCAGCAAATTTTATTGTGATTATCGTGCAACGTAGTTACGCAATTTCTACGGGATTCGTATTTGATTCATATTTTGATAATGATCAAAAGTATGTCTAGATTTTTAAGATGGAAAACTGAACTTATCTGCGTTAAATCTTCCACAAATCCTTTATTTAGACACAATTACACTGTTTATCACTTTATATCTGTAATTTCGAACTGAAACATAATTATTTAATATCAAATAGAGGAATAAATGTTTGCCCAGTATGGCGGGTGGTTGTGTATAATCATGGCATCGTCCATGTTGTCTTTAGTTTATTAGAATATTTTGGTGTTGCCTGCAGGTGTTATACAACAATTTGACAAATGTCAGAAATGAAATACCGACAGAGTCGAATGATTTACCTAGAATTTGTACCAGAACTATATCTTCTGTTTAAACAGTTGATAAAACCTTTTTAACCAATATACATGCGTTGTTTGTCTTAAAACATTGGTTATGGCATTTTAAAAAAAATATGACAGCAGAAAGTTAGGTTATGGTGAAGTTGTTTACCAACATATTTAGTATATGTACAGTCTTTAACAGTTACTAAACAACAGTTGTATAAGTGCTTCCGTTGGGAGCAATTTGTTGGCTAAAATAGTAAATTTGCGCAGCAAAACAACAAGGTTCGGGTTTGTTTTATAAACGTTACCGTGGATGCCACAATAAAACCATTTTGACTAACCTGCAAATATGCCGTATAAAATAGTTGTATAAACGTTTATGCAACAGTTAAAAATTTGTCCTATAAGGTGTTGTGTAACTATGCTATAAGAATATTTTAAACACCTCATTTTAGAGCAAATATGTTGCAGAAAGCAAATTTGCATTCCACACAACATTAAGCCAGCATTTTGGTGTTCAGGCAACAACAATAGAGAGCTTTTATGGCTGAACGGTTCTTTTACCAAAAGCTTATAGCATTACTTTGCTAGTTGGGAATGTCACCCCTCCCCACTTCCTACTACCACCACAGAACAAGCAGTTGGTCTGAAAAACCGGTTCATTACTTATGCCTCACCCTGTATATACAGAAAAACTGGTTTTTATCATTTTTAGATCCGAATCATTAAATCATCTTGCTATAAGTGTATCGGTAAGGTAAAGAGATGGAAAAATGTAAACATACATAATAGCTCTGTTGTCAATAACTGCATTAGAAACAAAATTACCAAGAAACATTGGAAAAAGAAACAGCAAAAATGATAAGAGTATAAACCATTGTTACCTGTTAGGACTAGGCTTATCCTTTTTGTGCGTCAACATTGTATACCTTGCGATAGTGATCGGGTACCTGGAGATGTGCAACTGATGGTGTCTGATACGATTTGACATATCATCGTCCTCTCCACCCCAGCCCCAAAACGAATTCGAAAAACCGTTCAGTAGCTTGAAGTGTTCTTTCGTTATCGCCGACACGCCGCCGAAAATCTGAGAATAAGGTAATCTGAAAAAAAATACTTGCTTAACTCTGGACTTGTTTATTGACTGTAAAAAATGGCGACAAGTACGTCGACTCACTTCCTGAATTCCCTGTGTACAAGAAAAACCAGAGAAGCGCGAGAAGTGTGTATCAACGCATGTTAGAAAGAGATAGAAGCCGGCTGAAGAGTTGTTGCCTAGCAACGGTGACGCGGAAGGTCGTGCAAACTGTCGCGTTGCCAATATGTTACACCAGAAAATGCTCGCTCAGGCTTCTGCAGTACATTATTTATTTCAATTTTGATGCGAGAATTATTTTAGATTTTCACCGATGGCGATAAAATCAACACATCCTGAGTTATTGTTACATTTTGCGACAGCGGAAATGTAACAAATATCATTATGCAATACAAATTATCACTGCCTACGTGTACGCAGGTGAAAACCATTTCGAAACAGGACGACACTCCCCAATAAGCACTAGATGGGTGCTAGCTATGATCATGGAGGTGGAAACCTTGCCTTGGAACGTACGAGATGCGTTGTTGCATAGCGAACCAATGATGTAATGGTGCAGAATTTGTGGCGAACCTCACCTTTCGTTTCGACCTAAAATGAAGCGCTGTCAGGACTGATCCAGAATCGATCCTAAACACATTCGACACAATTCACAATTATTCCAAAAAGCGTACGCTCAAAACAGAACCATTGTTTGGGTTTAGATAATAAACAAACATATATTTTCAAAATACATATTAATTCAAGCAACTGGTGCAACATATTGGCAACGCGGCAGATTGCCCCGTCACCGTTACTAGGCAAGGCGGTGATGAGCTTCGCTACCCAGTCGGCTTCTATCTCGTTCTAACAAATGTGTCTATACACACTTATCTCTCGTATACATTGAACTCAAGCCGTCAGACGAATTTGGTTGGATCTGCGTATGTTTTGAGCGTTGCAGTATGGGTATATTGGTGAAATCGTACCGGTACGCCGGGCGGTGAGTTAAGATAGCAGGAGTATGCGGATTGAAAACGTTTCTCTATCACTCTAAGTTTTAAAAGAAAATGAACGGCGAAATATGGCTAATAGGTGCTTAGAATTACAGGGGTTTGGAGCCTATAATAATAACATTTATTAGCAAAGGTACACATACAATACCATATACAATAATCAACGTTGAATATCCGCAGAAGGTAATACCTTGTAGGCGGATGAATATTATACTACTATATTACCACTATACTATAAGTGACATATAAATCCGGACACCCAGTTTAAATGGTTTTATTTTAATAAAAGTTGGTGAATGTATTTATCTTACTCTAAATAACAAGTGAAAAAATTTTCAGCCTTATCAGTTGGACATTCCAGTTTTTATACTGTTTTTTTTTAATTCACTAGCGCTCTAAAAATGAATATTTCAGCCGCATTAAAGAATCAACGTTGGCGGATTTTGATTCTTGACATCCTTTACGATCGGTTACGATGCCTAGAGTACGGAGACCTGTACGATTTCGTCAACTTAGTGAGTTTGATAGGGGCCGTATAGTGGGACTTCGGGAAGCTGGACTTTCTTTTCGGGCAATTGCAGTTAGAGTGCAAAGAAGTGTAGACACTGTGGTTAGGTGTTGTCAGGCATGGCTTCGAGAAGGCCGTACGCAAAGAGCAAGGGGCACTGGACGCCGCCGTAGAACAACAGACCGTGAAGATCGCCGCCTAAGATTATTGGCCTTAAGGGACCGTTTCTCCACTACCAGGTCCATTGCAAATGAATGGTTTGCAGAAGACGGAAGACCTATTGGCATGCGAAGTGTTTACCGACGAATGAGAAGTTTTAGCTTGTTTTCATACCGGCCACACTGGGCCCTCCCTTTAACTCGAGAACACCGACGTAATCGCCTTGAGTGGTGCAGACAACGGTCACTCTGGGATCAGGAATGGAACAGTATTGTCTTTAGTGACGAGTCTCGATTTTGTTTAGGCATGCACGATGGTCGTGCCAGTGTTAGAAGGCGACGTGGTGAAAGGAGGAATCCACAGTTTTTTGTTGAAAGACATGTTCATCACACTGTTGGAGTTATGGTTTGGGGTGCTATAGCTTATGGTTCCAGGTCACCTTTAATCTTCATCAGAGGTAACATGAACGCGCAGCGTTATATCCACGAAGTTCTAGAACCCCATCTTTTACCCTATCTTGACACCCTGGCAGATCCAACTTTCCAACAAGATAATGTCCGACCACATGTTGCAAGAGTCACAATAAACTTCTTTCAATATAATGATGTCACATTGTTACCATGGCCACCAAGATCTCCCGACTTATCCCCAATTGAGCACGTGTGGGATATGATGGGTAGGAGATTGCTCAATTTGCAACGTCCTCCTCAGACTCTAGAAGCACTTCGAGAGGAGTTGGTGGTTGCCTGGAATGAGATACCACAGCAGGACATTGACCACCGGATCAGAAGTATGCCTAGGCGCGTTGGAGAATGCGTAGCACATCATTTTGAAATTTTTATCATTTACTTATTATGCTTGATTAAGTACTTATACAAAATTTTATTAAAACAAAATAATTTAAACTGGGTGTTCGGATTTATATGTCACTTAGTATGTATAGAATTAATTATTCATATCGGGCGATATAAGGGTTTTCACAGCTTTACGCAAATGTGGAATGCTAATTTAATAATATAAAAACTATGTAATGTTTTGGTGTGATAAATCTATAATATGAACCTATATTAGTCTGGAATTGACGACTTATAGAATTCACAGTAAAATGTAAGTAATTTCATAACTTCGGTAGATCGTATAAATATACTAAAATCAAAAATTTTTATAAACCATCCCCCAACCCCTACGACCTCCAACCCCTCCATTTAAATAACCACACAAATTTTTCTAAAAATAATCAGGAACCTCTGGAACATCAAAAAACAAAGTTTGAGCGATTATTTTTTCATGTTTTTGCCTCTAGCTCCGGATTTTCAAACACTATAAAGAACTTTCGTTCCTGGCATAGTAGTGGCCTTTTGTGAAAATTTCATCCAAACCCAAGTAACATTTAGGCCCGTATCGTCAGTCGTACCTACAATAATTGTAGGACGCCTTTATGACCTCCTTTTCCGTGTCAGCCCTCTATTTTGAGGTCATGTCACAAATATCTATTTGCATCAAACTGTGCATGCTTTTGAGTTATATCATGCTTTATCAGCCTGAAATTTCCTATAATTTAAAAAGAAAACATATCTTCACAATAGGAGAGCGCTAAAGCTGACACAGAACAGGTGCAATCTAGAAATTTTTCAAGGAGAGAAAGAATTATGACAATTAAGGAGGCCATAAAGGCGGGCCTTAGATTAGCGGATAGACACACAATCAGACAGACAGACAGACCGACGGAATTGAGTGACATGTTTTTTCGTGATGTACATGTCATATAACATCCAAAAAACATATCTCATTTTCAAAATTTTACGCGATTAAAATCCTTATCGCTCAGTGACGTAGGAAGAAAAATGGTATTTGAAGCAATGCTTAGTTATCCCCAAGGTCTCCTCATTGTAAGGATGTCTTGAAACTTGGAATAGTTGTCAAATGTCAAAGAATGTAGTCCATAAGCAATTTTAAGCGATAAACCGTGATGAACCGGGATTATTCCTTGGTTATGCCCTTGATTATTCTGTCAGTTGCCCTTTTTACGATGATGTGAAGTAGATACTTTACTGTGATATTAAAAAAGTACCGGGACACTTTTTAAGTTCAGCTGAAAAAAAAAAGAAAAACCAATGAATTACTCCATAAAAACTCAATAGTAGATGTCT